TGCAGCTCTTATTTTGCTGCCTTTGGTCCTGGTACTTTTTTTTTTTTTTTTTTGAATATTCATTGAACACTCCAATAGATTTTGCAGTGTTTCCAGATTGTCTGCAGTGAACCCGATAAACCAGTTTTTGCTGTCGCACAAATGCTATGCATTGTTCAGCTCTACAATGTGCCTTTTATCACTTATCTTGCATTTTCTTGGGGGTTGCTCTTAACTGTTAAAGCTTTGACTAAAAGGTAAATGGCAAACTTGTGAACAGCTTCACCTGGAGAACTGTCAGACTCAGCAAAGGATGCTGACATCTTTTAAGTTACATACACCCATATCTATCCTCAAGTTTGAAAATGAGAGTTCTTTGTTCTTCTCAGCAAGGAAAATAAGAGTCAGAATTATTCGAAAAGTTTTCTTGGCTTGTATTTTATTAACCTTATTAAAATAAAAAAAAAAAAGTTAGTTTTTTGATATCTCCAAAGCTGTGGGCAGAATAGGAATGTTTTGTTTACAAGAGTTAGTGGCTGAGCACAACAGAGAGAGCTAAGAGTACAGAGTAAGCATAAAGTAAGTGACATGTACTCACATTTCCCCTCAGAATTCCACTTTGAGGTGGCTCACTCTTTTATATAGTGCCTAACTGGCCATAATTCAATACTATCAGAATTTAAAGACAAATACTATTTCACCTTGGGAGTAGGTGGATGCTGTTTTGGAGCAGCCTCTCTCTGCAACACAGTCTGAGCCCCAGGCAATTGCTAACAAAATTGGTGAGCACCTTTAAACACAAATTGATAAATCTGCTTGAGCTGCTCTTTGTCACAAGCAGTTCCCTAAAAACTAAGGGCAACTCAGCTTCTTCCCGCTGATGTCCCCACTTAAACCAAGGCAGCTCAAACATTCATCCAACCTGAATCTGAATTGTTTCAGCCCACTGGCTCAACACAGAGCTAACCTCATTAAAAACCTGCATCAGAACAGAACCCTAAGCAAAACCCCCCCCTTTCTGACTGAGAACTGTCCTAGCTCAGTGACAGCTTAGACAAGAGAGAGTACAAAGGACAGGTAGGAGTGCAGGAGGAGGTGTAGCAGACCCAAAATGCTGCAGCCAGATGTTGGGCCAGCTTAAGGCAGGGACACCCTCAATTTCTCCTCAGGCTGAACTTTGCTCCCAAGAAAGAAACTGTTTCTGTGATGTGGCTGCAGGAACAACAGCACAGTAACCTTGGGTGTTGCAGTAAACATGGGAATTGATACTCTTTAATAACCATAAAAAGGAAGATGATATTCAGTTTACTTTTAAGGACTTTCATGTCAATAACTGAAACCACATTTCTCTGTCACTATATGTGGCAGATGGGGGACAGGAAAAGCTAACATTTTCCCCCAATTAGATCTGTCCCATTTACTTTCTCCATATTGGTACATTCAATAGAGGCACACTTCAAGAAATGTTAAGTCTGGAAGTACAGAGATCCAATGGACAAAAAGTAGCAAATTTCAGGCGCTGTTGGGTCTTTGGTGTTCACACAGGTCACTGAGAACACCATTTTCCTTCTCCCCTGGCAAACACTGGGCACCACCACACCACAAACCCCACGCTGCAGTTACTCCTTACCTGCAGAATTCAAAGGAAGCACTTACATCACTACTACTGTTATCTGGCAGAGCATAAAGGTCAGCCTCACATTTCATTTAAAACACAAACATGACCTTTGGAATGGGATTTTAAATGACAGCAGAGTCAAACTTTCCTGCTGTCATAGGAAGCCCTGTCTCTCCTTATCTTAAGGTTTTCTTCCCCATTCTTGTGATTAAAGAAAAAAGGAATAAACAAAAACGTTATCTGTGCCATATTCCATAACTGCTCTTCATTTTATGACCATTTTAATTGTTTCTTACATAGTAAAATGGGTACTGCTGGGAAAACTAGCATAGGAGTACAATTCCAGAGATAACAAGATGGAGATAGTAACACAAGAAGATTTTGTGGAAGAATACAAGACAACAGCTTGTAATTGGCACGTAAACAGAACTAGGAGTTCACAGAAACCACATATACAATCACATTTACAAATTAATGTAAATATTTGTATTATTATTAAGGATATAGCCTCAGTTTTATACTTATATACAAAGACCTTGAGAATAGAATTTATTCTGGTTGTATTAAAACCTAAAAAGTTTCCCATTTGCAATTGACTTTGGCCAGTTTAAATGTGGTGGTGTGACTGTGTGGTACTTGAGTCTTTCAAGTGTTTTACAAACAAACAAACAAACCCACCACCACCAAAACCAACCAAACAGAAAAGATCCAACATGAAACAAAAAAAAATTCACAAAACCAAAACCCCCCAAATTATATATGTTTCATTTCAGAAACTATAAACCAGCTCAGATCAAGAAGCAAATAATGCTGGAACCCTCAAAACTAAATTATAGCTCGTCTCATTTCAAATGAAAATTTAATGCCTGCAATATTCTATTGGCACTTGGGGTTTTGTAGGGGTTTTTTTTTGGAAAATATTTGTTGTAACATTGTCTATCACCGGTGCCAAATTATACATAATAATTAACAGTGTTTGAAAGTGACTGAATTTTTGATAGAAGAAAGAGAAACTCTTCTCTTTCCTGATGTAAATTTGATTATTGCTCATAGTATCCATAACAGGGTTTCATTTTATATTTATGGTACTTTATACTTGATACTTTGTTACTTTATTTCTAGCGATTCTCTCATTGCCCACCTTGCAAAGCTCTAGAGAGTATGACAAAAGCATTAATTCTCACTGAAGAATGTCTTAGCCTTCCTTTCCACTTAGAAATTGGGACTGGGAGGATGAGAGAGAGGGTAGAGAAGAAGACTCAAAACTGGGGGGAAAGCCCCTAAACAATCCATAAAGCAATATCCCAGTCATAGAATGGTTTTGGCCATGAGCCCTTCCAGGGACAGGGCACCCACAACTTCCCCCAGCACCCAGTGTCTTGCTAACCTCCAGGTACAGAATTCCCTCCCAACTTTTTATCTGAATCTCTGCTCTTTCAGTTTCAAACCATTCCACCATCACAAAAGGCCCTTGTAAAAACCCCTCCCCAGCTATCCTTGTAACCTCTTTTGAGGCTCTGAAGTCCCTAAAGGACTGAAAGGGACTCCAGAGTCTCCTTGGAACCTTCTTTTCTCCAGGCTGAGTAACTCCAGCTCCCTTATCCTGTCTCCACAGCAGAGGTGCTCCAGTCCTCTGAGCATCTTCAAGGCTTCTCTGGACTTGTTCCAACAGGAACTTCACCTTTTCCTTTGGGGACCCCAGAGCTGGCTACAGCACTGCAGGTGGGGTGGCACCAGAGCAGAGGGGCAGCGTCACCTCCCTCAGCCTGCTGGCCACCCTGCTTTTGATGACAAACTGCTGACTTGTCCACAGAGAAAAATACATTATTCTGTACTACAGTAAATATTACAGAAAAAAAAAATGCCATTGCACAAGGAGCATTTTTTCTAATATTCCTTTCTTATCCTTCTCCATGAGACTGAGAGGCTTTTGCCATGCTGACAGCATGGTTCTTTATTGCTATTTTTTCAAATCCCTTAGCACCACTTTTCTTTAGTGCCTATAATCTGTCCAGATTTCCCATTAGGTAGTGATACAGCAATATTCTCAGTGCCAGAGAAAAGGTCAGAAGTGTATTTTCAGCTATAAGTGATTCTACAAAAGACCAAAGAACATCAATTTGACCCTGCATGCCTAATGCTGTGCCTTCATTTGCACAGTTTTACCAGCTGTTTTTATTCACAATTACCCACCAGACCCAGAACAACTACAGAAAGATTAAGTGCAGTAAAATGAGGAGTGAAATTAATCTGTATATGCAGCTCTCATCAGCTGCGAGCACTGGTGTCAGTAAAACCAGATCACTGGGACTCGGTGCAGGCTGTGGAAGAGGAAACACAGCTGTAATTTGATGTTCACAATCTTTACAGCTACTTGTAGTATCAATGAAGCTTGATTATAGGTTGAATCTATAATTCTGGCAGCTGAAGAAAATATTCCATTGGCTACAGAAACAGACACAAACCCCTGAAGGCCTTTCCTAGTGCCTTTTTGGTACAGGTTTGCCAGTGCATTGTAAACATCGGCCTCAACCACTTATTTCCCACACTTGGGCAAGTATTTGTCTCATTATTTATAAAAATCATTGCAGTCCCATTGGGCTCCACATCCCAGCCAGTGCAGCCTCAAGGCTGCTTTGATATTCCACCTACAGCACACAACTCCATTCCACGTTGTCATGGCAGGGAACAGTGAGAGGGCAGATTCCCCACAAACCTTCAGCATCTTCCTTTGGCTCTTTCACTCCTGCTCAGGGACTTCATGCCAGAAGAAAGAACATTTTACCCTCTGGTTAAGCATTATTCTCATTCACCTTGTTAAATTTTTATTAAATATGAAAACCTGTTTTCCAACAGGTGCACACATGGTTTAAATATTTGTGTTCGGGCACTGGAAACACATCTGGTAACCTTGTATTTCTGGATCTCTTTGGGGCTTTTGCAAGCAGCACCTCAATTCAATGAAGGTTTTATATTATAAAATCCCATTTCTCTTGTTTTGTTTCTTTTTTTTCTTCTGTATAAAAAAAGCAGATCATCAACCTTAATTTTTTTAATAGACAAGAAGAGTTCTATAAACTGATCCACGTGCTCTAATTACTGCACAATTTAATGTTTTATATTCTCTTAAAGAGTGGCTGAGACCTGTCTGCTGCATCATGGCAAAGTGTGAGTTTATCTGACCCAACCATATTGAAGCAACTCCTTAGGGTGGAAAAAAAGTGTGCTGGCAAGTTTAATTAAATGTAGACTTTTCTTAAGTCAACATAAAACAGTATTTCCCATCCCACCCTTTTCTTACTTGCTCCACACTGATGCACATCTTTAATAAAATGAACACATAAGTATTTATGGAGTCCATTAAGGGACTAAATTGTAATTTTTTAGCTACAGTGAATTAGGGAATGAAATGCAATATTAGCTTGACAAAAAAAGTCCTTTTTCTTTTTACATGAACTCTAGGGCTGAATGAAACTGAGTGTTACATTCCTAGTTTTTAACAAAAAAAAAAAAAGGTACAATTTTATATTATTTCTGGCATGACATAAAATTTTGGAAAGTTTAACACACCAAACCATGATTGAAAATGTTCAATTCTATCCCTGCTTTACCACTCCTTGAACTAATAAATCTTTAAGACAGGGAAAACAAGAAGACAATTGCTTTTCTAAATACTGTTTGCTCTAAAGTTTCTTTATCCTCTTTCCTCCCTCAGTAGTGAATACACCTGGAGAAGTGATGGCTCCTAATGTTTTCCTAAATACCAAGGGTTTGTAATTAGAGTAATTCACATCTGTGTTTAACAAGGAAATCACTTTGCACCAACCCTCCCTGCTCCTCACCCAGAGAAATTCCCCTTTCTTTTTCACTTAAAAATGAGTGCTTTCAGCTACAATTTCTTTTTATTGCATGTTTCCCCCTACATTTCTTTCCTTGAAGCTTGCAACACTAACATAGAGACCTCAGCATCTGATATTAACATTACTTTTGCCTACAACACCCAGTGGAATGTCACAAATTACTTATAACCACAGCTAGATCTGCAGGGCAGGAATAAGCAGAAAATAGTCCTTTAATTTAAATGGCAGATTGAGGGACAACGTTGTGTGGCATTCCTGTAACAGCACTAACTCCCAACACAGGATAAATGGTTTCTCCACACAAAAAAGCTCACAGTATGAAACATGCCAATCATTTGCTTTTAAATTTTTAAAAGTTTAATAATAATAAAATGGCTATAAAAATAGCAATATAATTAGAATAATAAAAATTTGGACCATTTGGATTAGGACAGTATGAGACAATAAGAACAAAGGGTTATGGACGGTCCAAGTACCTTTTTTCAGGGCAAAATAAACCCCAAAAAGGACACACATTAACCCTTAAAAGCAATAGCCTGTTACATATTCATACAATTCATACAAGATGCATAAATTCCATTCAAACAGAGTATTCTGTCCAGTCAGTGTCAACTTCCTCTTAATCCTAACAGCATCTTCAGGGCTGAGCAGGGCAGGAAGAAGTTCGTTTCTTCTGATAAGGGAGGAATAAATTCTTTTTCTCTGAAAGATTTATGTGTCCTGTGGCTGCTCTCTGTGCGAGTCCTCTCTTTTAAAAAAGTATCTTACATAGCATAGTTTCTATTTTAGCATTATGTTATAATCTAAATATTTAACACACTAAGAAAATTAATACAGCATAACTTTTTAACATAACAGATACAATATTCATGTTAATATTTGCAAAAGCTAATCATAAAATACACATTTTTCCACAACAGGGACAGATGGCCACCATCAAAACAAGGGAGATCAAAGCCCTTAAGGAAAGCCATAGCACCTGCTCCTTCATCCCACAAAAAATCCATTGTGTCCTTGGTGCCATGGGCTAACAGCCAGCTTCAACCACGGAAGAGAGTTTCCACCTTTAGGAAGCGGAACTCCCAATCCTTAGGGCAACCCTTACTGTCCCAGGCTGGACACAGAGGACACAAACAGAGGGAAGGGTGACCTCAGAGAGCGTGGGGATGGCAGAAAAAAACCCAACTCGCCTCAGCAAAGCCACTCTCCCGCCCTGCCCATCCCAGGACTCCCGTCCCTCAGCGCCGCGGCTTTCAAGGGAACGGCGCGCGCCCTCCCGCCCCTCCAGCCCGGCCCTGATTGGCTGCGGCGGGAGGGGCGGGGCCGGGCCGCAGGGTGACGCGTCAGCCGGGCGGGTCACGTGGCCGCGCCCTCCCCGGTGCGCTCGGGGGCTGCTGGATCCGGCTGCCGGCACCGCCGCCCCTGCCCTGCCGTGCCCGTGCTGTCAGCGCCCGGCCAGCGCCGCTCGCAGCCCCGCACCAAGGGCTGAGCAGCCGGCTGCAGTGCTCGGCCAGGTCAGTGCACGCCGCCTGCCGAGGGGGGCGCGGGGCTAGCGGGAGTGCTGTAGGGGCTTTATGGTGGCGACGGCGGCAAGGAGCGGTCGGTGCGTGCTCCCGGGGAGGTCTTGGAGGCTGGAGGAGCTCGGGTGGCGCTGCGGTGCCGGGAGAGCGCTGGGGGAGCGGCGCCGCGCTCTCTGCGGAAGGCACCGGGGGGACGGCGCGGGAAGGCGGCGGCGCTCTCTCGGGAGAGGCGGGCAGGGCAGGGCGGGCTGCGGGCGCGCCGCGCTCCCCGGCCGGGCCCCGGCTGCCCCCGGTGTGTGGCTTGGCGGGTCGGGGAGCCCGGGGCCTGCGGCTCTGTTTGTTTACGTCGCCGCCTGAAGCGCTGGCCCGGGGCGGTCCCGCGGCTGCCGCATTATGCAAGCGGCCGGGCCGGGGCGGGCCGGGGACGTGGCGCGCCGCCTCCCTCCGGCCGGGCTCCGCCGTGCGGGGCGCCGCGAGCCCCCGGTCCGTGTCGGAGCGGGCGGGCCGGGCTCTGCCGGGCGTGGGGGTGTGCGCCGCGCTGCCGTCCTTTGTCTCGGCTCTGCGCTAAAGGAACGCAGCGGCGGTGCTGCCGGCTCGAGGTTTGGTGTTATTGATCGCGTAGGAAATAGTGAGGCTGCTCTAGATTAAGCTGAACTTTAAAAATTAATCTGCTACCTGCACCCTAACCATGTACAGATCCATTCTTCCATTTTTCCTTTTCTTTTTCCTTTTAAGTTAATAGCTTGTCTTGTTAGTATTAGCGTTTTAATTTATCAGAGCGCGCAGTGTTAGATGGTGGTTAACCTTCAACATATTTTAAATGTTAACGGTAGGGTGAAGTAGTTGATAAGTGGAATTATTTTTGTCATATATATTTCCATTCTAGCACTGTTTCCTGTACAATAACTATATAAGATGTTAAAAAAATAGGAGATTGCCACTGGTCTTGAATAGGCACTGGTAGCCCAAGCTGCCATGTAATTAGTCTTTTGGTAAGGCACGTAGCCCCTCAACAGAATGGATCCAGGCTTTGGAAACCTGTTAAAAAGTGGTTTGTTGAGAGCTGTGGGGAGCATTATACAAGTTGTTTGTCCAAGTCATTCCTTAGTGAGGAGCGTTAGTGTGATCACAGAGAGCTAAATTATCCGCTGCCTAAGATCTTGTCAGCTGTACGTTAATAGCACGCAGCATTTCACGAAAGAGGAATCAGACTGATGCTGCTCTGTCTCACAAACGTGCCCCAGCTGTTTCCTGTCTGTTTCAAGAACTTTGCAAAACTGTGGCATTGCTGAGGCGGAAGAATCTGTCACATGAACAGGTATTTGCCAAATGCTGAAACAATCAACTTATTGTTACTTAAAACCAAGCAGATACATTGTGGGTGAACAAAGAGAATCACGGCTGATGTGGCCCTGCACGTGGGGAGCTAAATTGATGCTGAAAATACAATCCTCAAGATATTTTTCTCACTTGCTGTATTTTAGTGTGATGCAGTTTCAGAGGTGTCACTTGGGCTTTGCTGTTTTCTAAATGTCAGCGTAAGGCTGTTGGTAAAATTTCAGCCTTTGAATCAGAACAGCATGTCCAGATCTTCTGTGTAAGTTTGTTTGCTGTCCAGTGTTAGCACTGCAATGCAGAAGGAGAGACCTGCTGACTTCGTCCTTGCTCCTGCAGTCAAGGTGCACTGGGGGGAAAGGAGGGGGCAGGAAGAACCCTCTTTGTCTTTGGTTGAACATGAAGGAGTCGATGCTGTAATGCTGTTTCTAAAAATTCTCTCCCAGTTGTTAAAGGGAATGCCCTGACAAATATATCCTCTGACGCGGTTCTAAAACCCAGGTGTCGTCAGCTACTGTTACATAATTTTCTTGCATGTCTAATTTGTTGCTTTAGATCTATGCTGTAGTATCTGATACTTCATTAGGACCAACCACAAGCAACAAAATCTGTTCATCATACTACAAGATTAACCAGATACCACTCGGTATCTTTGGAATATCACAGAGTGTGACTGAGGCTCACATCCCTTTGTTCAGCACAGCAGTAGATCTGATGCATGCTGGATTTTCTGTTGCTGTGTGCAGCACATCTTTTAAGAAGGGAAAATCTGAGCACAGTACCTTCTCCAGCAGTGCTGGGCTGTGTTCAAATTCATGGTTCACGAGGGAGGCTGTAAGAGGTCAGAGGCTGTGTCAGCCCCAGTGCTGCCAGTGTGTCCTCCCAGCTGTCAGATGACTTGGCTGGGGCTGTGGCACCTTTCCCCTGCTTCAGCGTGGAGTTGGACTCTCCTGGGTGTTGATACAGCTCGTGAATCTCTTCTCTTAAGGTGGAAAGTGTCAGCTCAACATGACAAAAAAAACCAAAAATACTCCAGCCTTCTAGCCCTTGCTTATTTTATCTTTATATGCAGTAAATTGAGAGCTATTTTCAAATAATTGGGCATGTGTAGCTTTAGGATTGTGCACTTCCAGGACTGTGGAGCACGATCTGTGATGAAATGTGTGCTGGCATTATGAAAGAGCCTGTTTGTGCACAGAAGGTGCTGGTGGGTTGACCTTGGCTGTGTGCCACTTGCCCACCAAGCAGCTCTGTCACTCCTCTGCTTAGGGGGAGAAAGGTGGAAAAAGCTCAGGGGTCAAGGTAGAGGCAGTTAATACATCAAAAATAAATTATGCAGAAGATTTTATTCTCTGCTTCCCCATTAGGGAAGCAGAGCTTCCATATAGACAGGAGCTGCTCTGGAAGACAAATGTCTTAAATGACAAACACCCTCCTTTCTTTTAGGTAGGTTTTTTTTTTTTAATTTAATTTTTTTTTATTTAATTTTTTTTTAATTTGTCAATCTCTGAGCTGATGTCATATGATAAGGAATGTCCCTTTGGCCAGGTTGGGTCACCTGTCCTGGCTGTGTCTCCTCCCAGGATGTTGCCCACCCGCAGCCTCCTGGTGACAGTGAGGAATGTTGGAGAGACAGCAGTGATGCTGTGTGAGCACAACCGAAACTCTTCGTGTTATCCACACCTTTCTAGCTGCCAGTACAAAGCACAGCTCTGGGAGGGCTGTTGTAGGGAAAATTAACTCCATCTCAGCCAGGCCCAGTACAATGGGCTTCATTTTTCTGCAGCTAACTAAGCAAATTCGGTAATAGAGCAGGCAGAAGTAATCTGACACTAAATATTAGATGTCTGAAAGTACTAAAATGCATCCCAGGAAATTCGTGGCACCTGTGTACTTAGTTGTCTAATTACCTTTGAAAAATCCCATTAAGTACCTATAAAATGTATTATTTAAAAAAACCCCTACCCATTAAAATGATACTTTGTGAGCTGTATTTTTTCATCTCATTGTAAAAATCTGTGCTGCATATTATCCTGTCATTTTTAAATATAATGTTACCCAAGAGAGTTTTGGGTTGATAGCTTTCCATCAGAATTTTTTACTTTTAGTTTATTAGATAGAGATTGGTGGCTTTTTGTGGGGAGAGAAGGGGAGAAATGTGACACTTTGGTGTGAGTCTGATACATTTTTGCTTTCTTACCAGCATGTTGCCAAAGTCTGATTGTCCTTAATGGATATGCTAAGTGTAACCAGCCATTCTGCAGCCCTTACAGTCAACTTAGAGTTGATAAAATCAGCCTTTCATTCAGGTCAGTGCGGTTGCTTGAAGTGTTCCCTGCCTAATTTTGAAAGCCCTCTGTCCATGCAACAAAATTCAAGGCCTTCAGGCTTGTAAGTCTCCACAGTTTAAAAAAAAATCCCATTGTACTTCAAGCCTGCCCTTGGACCACTAGAATCAAAGCCTCAAAACCTGTTCAAGTTGCTATTAAAAATATTGGTTGTAATGAGTAGAGAGCAGGTAACCTGGCTGCAGGGCTGCTGTGAATTTTTATGACTCTGGAATTTGTTTAGTGTTTGTTATATTCCATGATTGCCCCAGATTACTTGGTGTGTATTTAGCTAATCCTGAAAAAACATATAAGATATGGTACAGCAAGCAGCCAGCACCTCTTAAATCATATTGGAAAGGTTAGGGAAATTAAGGGTGGGGCAGAATAATCCACTAAAGCTGAAGGCTTGTGAAGGGTTTTAATATATCACCAGACCTGTAAGCCTTCAAGGTTCAAATGAACATCAAGATTTGAATTAATAAATCAAGTCCCTGTCCTGGTATATTTCTACCTACAACAAAAAAATATCGTGGTCTTCCCCATCCATGATGACATTTATTACCTCATTTTAGAGAAAATCTATGATACTTTGTGACATTTTAATAGTTGATTGTATTATGTCATCTTTTTTTCCTTATCTGCATTTTCTAGAAGTTCCCTTTTAGAATCAGGGAGAGGAGAGTTTGGATTTCCTATTCTTTTCTTCCTATTAATGTTGGGGTTTTTTGTGTGTTTTTTTAAAGTGCTGATAAGTCTCTACCTGTGTGATATATCTTTCCCATGAGGAGAACTGAGGCTCAGGTGTTCACTGCTTTCTTGCAGGTGGTTGTAGTCTATAAGAGCTAACCAAAGGAAGAGGAGCAATTGTTTGCACCCGGGTTAGCATCTGAATGCCTGTTGCTGCAGCAGATGTGAATTCAGCTTTATTACTTTTGGACTCAGAGGTTGTTTAAAAAGGGTTGTTGCACAAGGATTCCTAGTTTGTAAATCGCCTCAATCGATTTTATTAATATTTGCTGATTAGGAAATGTTTGTCATTTTTAATGTAGCTCTTCTAATTTGCTTCAGTTCCCCCAAGCAGTTATGACGTGACCCCTCTGAGCTGAAAATTCTTTGCATTCACCTAAAAGTCCATCATTACAGGAGTGGGGAGGAAAAGAGGATTTTGTTAATTCTTTGCCAGCTTCTTTGGCTAAGCAGTGCTGAAAATCTGAAGGAAGGAACATCCTGTTTCAAAGATGCCTGACACTAAGAGGTCAGAGGATTTGATTGTTTGAGCTTGTCATTCCCCTTTGGGAATTAAATTATTATCTCTTTTCAGGAACCATCAGTAACTAGACAGCTAAACTGAGGTTGTTTGGGTTTTTTTTTCCTCCCCCCACAGTAAAATGTTTTTGTTTCATGTCTTGAAAACTCAGACTGCTTTTATAAGTGCATTATAATATACCACATAGGTTTAATTCCTTAACAAAAAGCAGACCTGGTTTTTCTTTGCTGTGTGTTTGTATTCAGCGCTCTGCTAGAAAATATATTTTTTTCAGAATGAGGGGTAGTACTTTGACCCTAAATATAAGAGCAATACCTGTACCTGCAGTTCTGCTAGAAAAAAAACAGGCTCTTGCTTGGTGAAGTGGAATTTTTCTTTTCTTTGTATACATCCCTTGGGTAGGCTGAGTAGGTTTTTGAGCTAAAATGCATTTGGGGTAGAACTTTGGCAATTTTACAAAGTCAGTTTATCAAAACCTCCTTATAACTGGCTACTCCTATATAATAGGAAAATATATATACTACTATAGAAATAGATATACTCCTATATAAATAGAAAAATAAAATTATTTTACTAGGCAGTTTAGAAAAGCTCACACCTGTCTGGAAAGTAGGTACATAGAATTTTTACAAGATTGGCTAAAAGCTTTATAGACTTAGGAGGATTTTGGATGATTCTCTAGGAACAGTTAGGTAGTTAGTTAATTTGCAGTAGTAGGACACATGCTGGTTTTTGTGAAGTTTAAATTTGAGTCATTGCATTGGCTCTGGATACAGCTTTTTTTTTTTTTTTTTTTAAGCCAATATTCTTGCTTTGGGGAACTGGGTGCACACATCAACTTTCATTTTCCTGCTTGACTTCCGCAAGGCATTTTTTTTTTTTTTTTTTTTTTTTTTTTTTTTTTAAGCAAAAAACACATTCTTGCTTTAGGGAACTGGGTGCACACATCAACTTTCGTTTTCCTGCTTGACTTCCGCAAGGCATTTTTGCCTACTTCATTTCCCCTTTGGCTCCTCTGCTCCTTCAGTTAAAGGCTGTCCAAACAGGCTTGTGGTGAGCACAGCCAAGCCCCTGACTGCTTGGTGGCATCATAAATGCACACTAGTAATTTATATTCTCTGCGTTACACTGAGATTTTTTTTTGTCACATTAGACCAGTTTCGTGAGTCCAGTCTTAGCTTCAGCACTGAAACGTGCTGTGCTTCTCTGTCTATAAATAAACAAGTGCTAGAATGTGTCACTTAACACACACAGGTGAGAAAGTTCCTAAAGGGCATGCCCTTCGTGGAATTCCTGTTTATCAGCTGTGCTTATTTCTAGTTTCAGTAGTCTGGGGTTTTATCGTTTGCAGAATGATAAAATTTGTGAAAGACAAATGCAGAATTGGAATATGTGACCGGAAACCTTTATATGTCTACTGGGTTTTTTTTGTTCTCATTTTATTACTGAAAAGTCATCTTCCTTGACAGGGAGAGGGAAAATAAGGGAGGAGGAAAAGGAATGTAAAGTAAAGGCAGCTGTAGTTACAGTAGCAATAGAGGAGCAGCTTTAGAATTGAGAGGAGGAGGAGGAGGAGGAAAAAATCAAGAAGAAACAATTCTGAAGGTCGAATACCTGTAATAACATTCTAAATGCCCACAAAGAATGAGGTTTGATGATGAGCTTCTTTTTCCCCTCCTATTTAGTATCTGTCTTTTGCTTTCAAGACATATTTAACTGTCCTGTGCCCTTTGAAGGCAAGGACTTCCTCTTGTAGTAGTAGAGCTAATGAAAAGCAAATTTTTCTTCAGTGTTGTTAGTTCTTTCTGATATTGTTACTAAAAGATTGCTGACCAAGATTGTACTGAAATAAAGTGCTATTTGTCCTGTTCAAGAACAGCAATAGTAACATTCTACCTCCTTGGTTAAAAAAAAAAAAAACCAAACAAAACACACACAGAACAAAAAAAAAAAACCCACAGCATTGTAAAGAACTGGATTGAAAGCATTGCAAAATTTATTCTGCACATAATTAGTACAATTATTTTGTAGCCCATGTCCAGATAGATATACTTGGGTGGTGACAGTCTAGCAACATCCATATGTGGACTTTACTATGACTGCTGCTTTTGTAAATAATATAAAAGGATGTGATATATCAATGGTGTTTCTGCTGTAATGGTGAAAATGGGATTCTGCCAGGTTTCTTTTCAGTCAAGGTGTTGTGCATTGGAGGAGAAAATTGAGGCAGTCTTCCTGCTGTCCTGGCTAAAGGCAGTCTTTCCTGCTGTGCTGCTTTGAAGACTGCTTGGTGCTTCCTTCCAGTGGTTCCTGGTGCTCTCTGTGAAAGCCTGGAAGTAGGGGAGCAGAGTCTGCAGGGATGGACAAGTGCCAGCAGAGAGCTGTCATCTCTTATGGTGGTTCCCCTTTTCCTTCAAGGTGGTTGTGCTTCTCTGTGGAAACTTTCTTGTGCTTTGTAGACGATGCTGAAGAATAGAACAGATGTGTCAGAAGTTACTGTTTGCCAAGGATCCTCACCTTAAATCTCTTAAACCTTCCAGTGGCCTCCTTGGAAGCAAAATTAGTCAGAAAGAGTTTTGAAAAATCTCTGTTGAAGACTGATAAATGCTGCAGGATAATGATACTTGCATATGGTATTTCATTTAGTGGTCTTTTTCTTATGCCAGTGTTGCAGCTGGATCTGGGTCTGCAGCTACTTTTAAAGAGCTTTCTGCTTCTACTGCTCACTTAAACAGTAATAGCACAAGTGGCTTGCTTCCCTGTAAGTGGTGGGATTTCTGTTTCCTCTTACTTAGAGCAGCAACAAATGTAGTGATTGTTCCTCAAATTAGTTCTCTTTCTTCCCACTACAGGAGATTTCAACGATCCCAAGACAAAAGTTCTGCAGAAATGACCTCTTGTCAAGTCACTTTTGAAGTAACAGGATCATCAGCACCAGGTATTCAAATCATACGTTCTCCTTTTTGTATGATTGGTGTAGGAGAAAAAGTAATGAAGGAGTGTTCAAAGGCTGTCTTGTCTGTTTTCCTCAGAAATGAATGTATTAGATCAAATATCAAGGTGATAAATCATTGTAAAATGTATTAAGACATTTCAGCAATGAATTTGAAAATGAGATTTGGGAAATAAATTTTACCTCTTTCTCCAAACAAAAATTTCATAATGTGCTAGGGATTTTGATGCTAACTGAAATGGTTATCATTAGTTTAAAATCTTCTCTTTTTAGTGCCTTTATATTCCATGGAAACAAGCATTTGTATTCTGACCCACAATACTTAGGTACACATTGATTTGTTTTTTTGTTTTTTTATTCTCTCTGCATCCCTGTTGAAAGTTCTCACAAGATGTGACCTCTATCAGATGTTACAGACAGAAAGAATATGCAGCTTAATTCAGTATTCTGTCTATGCAAAAAAAAACAAAACAAAAAACCCCCCCAAAAAAACCCCTTCTGTTATCCAAATGAGGAACACAAGGTATCACATCAGGTAGAACATGAAAATCTGTTATTGATAAATTGTGCATATTACATTGACCTTCATCTTCAGGAACCTGGAAAGAAGGAGTTGTATTTAACCACAGCTGGTAACTGAGGTCCACAAAACTGCTCCCAGCCGTGTTCCTTCCCAGCTTCTTCCTTCCCAGCCCCCTCTCTGGTGGGGAGAGAACAGAAAAGGCCTTGATGCTGTGAGCACTGCCCAGAAATAACTGAAATATCCCTCTGTTATCAGCACTGCTTCCAGGACAAATTCAAAACACAGCCCCTGCTAGCTGAACAAAATTAACTCTACCCCAGCCAACAACCAGCACAGAAGTTACACCAAAAAAGTAATTGATTGTTGCCTAACAGAAGCAGATGAATGTGGGAGCAGATTGGCAAAATTCCTGTGCCAGGCCAATACCAGATGGCAGAAGTGTCTCCTGTAGTTGGCAGGGGAGAGAATGATAAAGACACTGTACAGGTTTTGACATCTGCCCTGTGTTAGACCTCTCCTGTGTTTCTCCCTCATGGTTTGGCATTTGGGAACTGAAAACTGGTACTCAATGTAGTCATAAAGATGTTAGTAAGGAGCAGAGGTTTTTACAGCATTCTGGAGAAAAGTGTAAAAGTTTAGAGTAAATTGACCTTAGCTCAATACCTGTGTAGCTGTACCATGGAGTATGGCAAGCTGTGCTCTTCGTCCTGCTTACACTGTTGCTTCCACAGCAACACTGTCACTAGCAAAGCTGACTTTGGATGTATAACTTCTTCCTGTGCTAATAGTATCTGCAGTGAAAAGTAGGATTAGTGAGAAGCACATCCTGCCTCAGTGGCTGTTCACAAAGAATTATCTGGAAATACAGCATCAAGAGATGACACAAAAGGGTGCTTCTGCTTATGACAATGTTGATATTGTCATAAGCAGATATGGATATTGGATATGTTGATATTGGAGCTTTTGTTATTATTGTTGGATTAGTGAGGCTGTTGCAAGCTTTGAGTTGGAGCAGAAGGCTTAGATTAACCTTATTTGCTGTATCTGAAGGAGCTGTGCCAGGAGTAGCCTTGAATTCCATGACTAGGAGAGGGGAGAAGCTGAGGACCCCTGAGCTTGAAATGCAAACCCAGCCCAAACCCCACTGTGCTCAGAATTGCCTATGGAGAGGCAGTTTGCCATGCATTTCACTTTGGCTTTACTGGGATAATTAAGGCAGTGTTTTATAAATCCTAATTTGGCCTCAGTGCAGTTGTTGAAGGGAGTTTAGAGTGGCTGCACACCCAATTCAGGCATTGCCTTTTGTGTGTGGTGCCTTACTGAGTGAGAGGTGGTCACTGATGTTCACAGGTCTGTTTAAAATAGGAGCCCAGAGAACTCTTCCAGCTGGCACCTGTTAAGAGGAATATAATTACATGGCACTTCAAAGCTTGGCTGTGTGTACACAAAGATGTATTAAGTACTGCTGTTTTAAAGGGATGTTAAAAGAATTTTAGCTCCTTTTAAATAGCTCTACTCAAAAATTCTACCCATGTGATGTTCAGGTGGTCTTCATACTTTATCTCCTCCCTGCAAAAACAAATCCTCACGTGCCTCAGGATAGGGTGGAAAAGGGAAAGCTAACATAGGCAATTGCATACTAAATATACTCATAATGTAGATTTTTGTCTGCATTTGTATGCTTACAGTGAGCATCCAGAAAGCTCAGGCTTCTTTTTTTTAACAAATTGCAGCAAAAGATTGAAAAAAAAAACCAAAAAAACAAACCAACTGCTGAAGTTCAAGGTGTTATGTAAAATTATTTCAGTAAGCTACTTTCAGAGAAATGTTGTCTTACTTTCTGTCTTCTGCAGATTTTTTCCAGAGGTTTCTTTCATAAGCAGGCCTGTGGTATCCCTTACTAGTTTAACTGGAGAAAAGGGAGACAATTTTAGAGACAAAAGAGCATCCTCAAAACTGTAACTGTGTACTTTGAAGTGTCAGCTGTGATTTGTGGCTTAGGGACAGGCAGTGTACTCTTGCTGCATACAGCTGGTCTACTTTGTATCTTGGGATTATCGTGTCCCCCACACTGCTCATTTTGAGAACAGGAAATAAGTCAGAGATGCTTCTATCATTCTTTTGTGGTGCCTAACTGTACTTTAAAACTCCATATTTTCTCATTCTGCAACAGCTTTTTATTATGTCTAAAAATCTTGTTGAAACCCAGTGAGAACAAAATACTAATTTGTTCTTTCCATTAGTATTTATCATTGTTGTTCTTACAGTCAGATAGATATACAGGTTTTATATTAAAAACAAGGGTAAGTTGCAATGGTCACTTGGGATATCCCAAAATTAAATATACTGAGACTTTTGGGTTCTGTATATATGTATGCATTAAGATAAGCGTGACAATTTCATGTGGGTTTTTTGTGTAACAATGTTACATTTTGATATCCAATAAAAACTGAAAGTGTAGCAGCAAAATGAACTTTATTCCTCTTGGGAATCAAATTAGTTGGGTATGTTGCCTTGGGAATAATGCTAGCAACCTCCTGTTTGTCTGTGCTTTCTAAATTGTTGGTATGACTTTGAGGGAATATGGACATGCATTAAAAATACAGAGTATCTAGGGAAATAACCATGTCACCTTGAGATGAAACATCTTACTGTGAAAATTTGCCTGCTGCATTCCCAGAGATGTTTTGAACACTATTCCTTAAGAATGGTTTGGAAGCCAACCCTTTTAGGGGCTGGGGTTGTCATTAGTCCCTCTCTCAGGGCCTTGGGATGGTGAAGAAAATGCTGTTGTAGTTTTGGGTGGGGTAAGATTCCTTTCAGGACAGGAGGAATTTTAGATGAGTGATACTGGTATATATATTTAAAATACTTGAAAGTTTGACTGTGGCTGTACTTTTTAATGCAATCCAGTCTGAAGTAATGATGATTGTGGGTTTTTTTCTGTTTGGATTTTTTAGGAGAGGTTTTTGCAATATGTGGGAGCTGCAGTGCTTTGGGAAATTGGAATCCCCAGCTTGCAGTGGTCCTCCAGGGTCTGGATACGTAAGTTGGTTTTAATTTTTGGTTTTTTTAGGGGGATTTTTTTTTTCTGTTTTGAATTTTTTTTTACTTGTTCTGTTTGAAGTAGCTGGAGTTCTGGAGCAACAAATTTATTCTGTCTTTGAGTTTGTAAACTGCACGTACTCTTAGTAGAACTCCAGAATTTCTTGTGTTGCCTTTGAGCACTTTGAACGCTTAGGAATATGTTTAAGAAAATATGAAACTTGGGTGTGCTTTTCTATTACAGATGGTGCTTCTGCTGTTGTAGCTGGGATTTCAGTAGTTTAGCTTTAGATATTTGGAGTAAGAAACTGCTCTGGGACAATTCTCAGTACCATGGCTGTGCAGCAAGTTATAGGAGATATATAGGATAAAAAGAAAATAAAGACTATAAAAAAGTTATTATTGTGCAGCTAGAAAGTGATAGGGTGGAGATTATTTAAACTGAGAGTTACATTGAAATTCTTAAGGGGGAGGGGATATGTGTGTAAGCATGAGTGTACATAAAGTTTAAATGCAGTGGAAGAATTTAGTATTTTCTTAAAATTGTGCCAGCTTATAGCAGCTCTGTGGTGAAGGAAAATAAGGTTTGCAGGCTGTGTCTAATTCTGTCAGTCACTGGCTGTGTCATCTTGGATGGGTCTCTGAATCACTTCACCATGTTTTCCCCATCTGTTCAACGGGGATGAGAATTCTTGTTCTCTTAAAGCACTTCAGATCTGTCGATCAAAAAGTTCAGTTTCATTTCTAAGGACATCTCCTGTTCTGTGCATGTTTGGCTGGGGTACTTTGTAATAACTTTCCTTGCAACAATACACTAGACTTTTATTTTAGAATATTACTTATATATGTGTCTGAGGTGGCTGTTAGGCTGTATTTTAGAACTTTTTTTTTGTTTTGTTTTTTTTTCTTTTTTTCTCCACAGTCTGTCTGAGGTAAAATGGACAGCTACTGTAGAGCTTCCTAGAGGAGTTCCTGTTCAGTATCGGTATTTTAAAGGATACTTTCTAGAACCTAAGGTATGTACAACCTTGGCTCATGCCTAGTAAAAATTCCCATATTTGAATAAAAAAAAGGACTGCCTGAGATGAGATTTTTTTAGAAATAGGTCTTGAATTGCTACATGTGAAACACTAAAACATTTGTGGAAATACTCACAGTTCACTTCTAGAAATACATGGCCATATGCTCTTAACTGTAATTATATTCTCTTCTTTTAGCAGTGTTAGTGTTCTAAAAATTTCAGTGGTAAAGAAATCCCTGACATTATTATAAAGCTTAAATAATATGGTGAAGTTCTCATAGTTACAATATAGTTGCATATAGTCTTCAGCAGGGCATGGATGTCAAATGATCTGTGGAAGGAATGTGATAGTATGTGATATCTATCCTATATGATAGGACAGAAGCAAGTGATAGTAGGAGAAAAATGGTCAGTGTAGGAGGTGCATTAAAATTTTAAAAGTTTTTAAAATCACTGCAGATTTGTTTTTGTGAAGCATGAGAAGTATTAACCAGATTTTGTGCTGCATAATCAACATATATTAATCTCTTGAAGTGAAAAGGTGAAACAAGGGATGAGGCATCCCATTGTTTTGTGTATTTTTGTATATAGGAATTTGCACAACTTGGAGGGTAAAAACAGAGTCAAGGGACAGAGACAGATATGTTTTTACAGGTATTGATGTCAAAGCTGCATATGACTTTAAAGTTACATGAATTAGAGTTTAATGTATGTGGCAATGTACTGGTTTGTAAGCATTGCACTAGGGCAGGGGGAAGTTCTTCAGATGGGAAGAGGCTGCATCCAGGAAAAAGCTGGGCTAAGTTGGGAAAATTGAACTCTTGAACTGTTTTTCATAATAACAAGTAATAACCTTAAGAAATTTAATGCTGCCTTTGCTGTATTTCTTATTCTATTAATATCCTGTAACTGTTCACCCTGGGCTTTAGTTCCTCATTGAAACTGGGGTTATGAAGGCTGTAACTAAATGTGCAAAGGACTTACAGAACCATCTCATCAATATCTTGTAAAAATTTCAATTACTGTCAAGAGCATGTAAATTTTTGTCAGCCTTTTTTTAACTTAAACTTACATTTGGTGGAGGTATCATTTCAATTGTAAAAATTTCAATTACTGTCAAGAGCATGTAAATTTTTGTCAGTCTTTTTTTAACTTAAAAAAACTTACATTTGATGGAGGTATCATTTCAGTGAAGGATACTAATTTCAAATGAAACACAGTTCTGTTTTTTTCATTACAGCATGTGAAATAGTCTAGTCAGAAACTGGTGTTTAAATTGGTACTTTGAGGCAAAGGAAGGCCAGTAATAGATTTATTTTGCTGTGGTCAAACTGAGGTCAAAAGTAGATTAATTCTTAGAGCTCAACAGCTCTGATGGGCCTCTTTTTTTTTTTTTTTTTTTGCAAATGCCCAGAAGTTTAAATGTAAGCAAAAGTAGCACACTCAAAAAGTAGAGTTAGTGAGCAGAGGCTGTGCCACAGTTAAAAGACAATACAATTTCTGTTTTACCATTTGCAAAAGTTTACCCTCTGTGTTGGTGAGTGTGTTTCTTTGAGTAGGTGCTCTGTGTCGTGCACACTTGTGATGCAGGGTCTGCCAAGGTAAGTATGAATTTTATGCAATACCAGCATAAAGGGCTTCTAAGTGTAAAGAGCAGGAAAAAAGGAAACCACCCTACAAAACAAAGCATGTGAATTCCTGGGGTGCAGGGTTGTCAGCTTAGTGGTGTCTGACCTGTTAAATGCACAGGGCTTTACTTCTTATAAAATAAAGTCTTTTGAAGGAAAGAAATTCAGGTACAATGGTGTTTTCTTCCTCTTTTTGTAAATCTCTTGCAGAACAATGAAAAAGTAACCAGAATGTTGTGTACAGTATAGTGCAAGTGAGAGAGTACATGGAGAATTTTAGCATTAAGGAAATGCTGATAAGGAAAAGATACTTTTAAGTTAAATTATTCTGCATGTTTTTATTTCAGAATTTTTTCATTAGGCATTGCATGTGATTAATCTAAATTTGACAAGCTGGCAATATATGATCTCTGACACTTAATTTTTTGTATCAATTTTATGTGTAGTGGAACAACAGTGCAATCTTAACTATATGTTCAAGTCTGAGTGTATGAATTTGACCTCACATAATTAGTAAATCGTGCTGAGGACAGATCCACCTGAAGTTTGCAACTTCTACAGCAACTGCATCTGTGAAGATGCTTGAGTTGGATGTGGTGGCAAAGATGGGGCTGATACATGTTTACACAGAGAAATGGTAGTTCCTAGATTACCCACAGTAGTGCTACAGCCTAGATGTAAAGAGAAAAGAGATCAAATAATGGACATTTTGCTAAAAAAAAAAAAGTCTTTTTCTCACTTCCCTTTAAGAAGGTCATAATTTGATCTTAATTTTTTTTTACTTGAAGGAAAGTATGATGTAATGGAAAGTCTTGTTTGTAGTGAAGCATATTGGTGTTAACATAGTTGTGGTTGTGTAATTAGAGCAAGGGTTTTTTTAAAATAATCAGTATATTGAAATTCATAGAATTGTTGCATGAATATAAATATATATACAAAGAACATTTTCCTATAAAATTTGTGTCAGGTCTTGGCTCCTGGATATCAAGAGATTTTACTGTGTTGCAGACATTTTGATCTTAAGCATTTAAAAAGAAAAATAAATACACACACTTGGATGAAATGAGACAGTAACTTAAACTATTTTTGTTGAGGTTGTTCTTTCATTGAACATAGTCTGGGACCAGTGAGCTCCCTGTGAGGATCTTCGTGGGCTTTATTCTACACTCACTTTCTGTTTGTGGCAGTGGGTTGTGAGGGGGTTTGTGTGAGGCACACCAAAACTCCCTTGGCTGGAATTTGTCTTCTGTGTATTTTACATTTTAGAAGAATAATTTTACATGCATTGTTTGCATGATGCATATTGGAAAACCTTAGTAAGGAACACACCTTAATCTTTTCAACTGTGTTCTGTATTTGCTTTTAAAACTGTAAATAAGCATGCAAGTTCAGGGTTAGTTCTTTCAAGGCAAGTGTGAAATAACTAAGCTGTCTGTGTATGTAGCAGGACTTTAAAAACTGGATTGGAGGACATTTTTCACACTTTCTACTTAATTACAGAGGATTCAAATGAGAGATTTACTTTTATAAAGTGCAATTAAATTTAGTGCCTGGACTGTAGTAATAAAGTTGAAACTTAGTCCTAGACTCAGTAATTAATGCCTTAGAAAAGCTTTTTGTAGATTAAGAACCCTTGGTTGTCATGATAGTAACAAAGGCATTATAATCTGCTGAGATAGCAGATTGTGTGTGAAACTGTTATTGGAAGTACCAGAGCTATAAAATCTCTCCTGAGCTCAGCATTTCCTGCCAGGTGACTTTTGTGTGCTGCTGCCTTGCAAGTGGGATGCGATGGCTGAATGGCTTTAATTACTCAGTTTAGTGCTTAATTATTGTCTTCTACATGGTACAGAAATCCAGAGAGATTTTGGTCAGAAATGCAGCTTTAGCAATTAAGCCTAATTTAGCTGTTTCATATTATTGAAGTAGATTATTATTCTTGAAACATAGTTTTAATTAGTGAAGTGCACTTGGATAAATGTGTTTGTGTGGCGTTTTTAAGATTTGGTTTGGATTTTCCCCCACTCTAATGCCTATCTATTGTGTTGCCTTAAAGCAGGAACCCAGGAACTGATCTCCTAAATTACCATTTTAAACATCCACAGAAGTGTTTGCATTATTTAATTGTACTGAGTACCCAGGCACTTGGTGCAGATGGTGCATCTGCTTTCAACCTCAGAACCATTATGCTAGATAGGCATTTTTCCCTTCATTTCAAAAGTGTCTAATGACTGCTGGGGAGGGAGGCCCCAGCTTCTCATAATGGAAGAAGACTTGATTTTTAAAGAAAGTTCTTGAATGTCCTTTAGAAACTTGAAAATTGAATCAGATGTTCAGCTAATCAAGATCAAGCAACATAACATTCGTGTTGGCTTAAAAAAAAAAATAAAAGTGTCTGTATTAGTAGAAAAAGATCCACACTGCCACTTACCTCAGTGTACTGCCCATGGGATGCTTGATGTGACATTTGAATGGATGCCCTTTTAAGACTGTCCTCTAGAAACTCTCCTTTTAGGCAACGTTGCCATACTGTTAATATTGATGAGACATCATTTAGTTCTGCTGCTCAGCTAAGCTGCTTTTCAGATGTGGTCAGTATATGCCATGGAAATGACATTACTGTTTTGACCTCATTGTAACAATGGCTTTGGTTACATGTAATTAAAACGTTTTTTAAAAGCCTGTAAACTCAGAGAGGGTCTGAGTAGAAAATGAGAGGGTTCTTAGTGATGTCTGTGCCTGTTCTCTAATCAATTGCCCTTTTTTTCCAGGTAGCTTTGCTTGGCTCTTGTTAGTATGGAAAGTGTTGAGGGTTCCTGGGATTAAATGCACAATCAGTCCATTGTATTCCTTTCAGGAGAGGAAATTGTGCTGAATGTATCTGGCCTGGTGTCCTTATTGTTGAGAAAATGTTATTCAAATTTATTCATCATTTTAGAACCTAACTTTAGAATGGACAGTTACAGTAGTGTAAGAAATAAATTGGTATTTTCATACAATGCACTGGGGGTTTTACAAGGAAAAGCCTTTGCTTACCTTCTGAAGGAAACAGCTTGGTCCATGTTAGGAAGATTTGCATTTCCCAGGTTCACAAACTAAAGCTGTACATGTGTTCATGGGAGCTGCTGTTGGAGATCTTGCATGCCTGCATGGTGGGAGTAAATGGCAGCCTCCCTGCTGACAAACATGGCTTGCAGCTTTAGAAACTGTCATTGTGACAGGCAAATGTCACTGTGCTGTGAAAGGAGGGGAAAGAAACTTTTCATCATTTACTTTTCTAGAAATCCTAAGCATGGTCACTGTGACAGCAGTGACAAGTTGGGAACTAAAACTGCCCCATAACAGGAATAAACTGGAAGCAGTAATATAATTTTATTTATGTTTTGTATGCATTTTGTCTTTAAAACGTAACTAAGCATATGTGTTTTATTCTGACATGATCTTTAAGTGTGGATGCCTCTGAACTCATTAGGAACATTGCTTTAGCTGAGACTCACAGAACAAAGCCATCCTACTGAACACTTCTTAAATGTTTGGTGTTTGCTATTAACTCACCTTGCTTGGGAGATTAAATATGCTCAGTGTATGTCAAGAAATCCCATCTGCATGTAGAGAATTTATTGGGTGAGCTGTAATGGAACAAAGCATTGTGGTGCTGTGTAATTATACTGCTGAGTTTGAAGCTTGTCTGGATGTCCCTGTGGGGCTGAAATCTGTTTAAACAAGAACCTGAACTGCTGGGACGAGCTGGCGTTGGAGTTTCCATGTCTTTGGCAATAGTAGCAAATTTTTTTGGAAATAAGTTACTTGGGCTCCAAACATCAAAATGACAAATTGCAGCTATTTGGTAGTGGTTTTTACATCTGAGAGTAACATCTGTGCCATGCTAGGAGAAACTTCTCAGGGTGACTGAACTGGTAACCAGGCATGTTCTCTGTTGTTAAATTTTGGTTACCTAAAACCTTTTATCTAGAAAGCTTTTTCAAAGTTAAATTGTTCTGAAAGAAGAGTTTGTGTTACTTTTCTGGTTATCTGAGTCTTGGCTATGTTTGTCAACAAATGTATTTTTTTGGTGGACAGTATTTCTTTTTAATGAAAGTATCTAATTTATCCTGCTCCAGTTGGAATAGACTGCAGGGTCTTCATTGCTGGCTGATTGGGTCAATTATTTATGTTTTAATTAGATGATAAATAATTTGCTTTCCAGTACCACAACTAAAATAACTGTGTTTTATAGTCTTTGAATTTAGTAAGGTAAATTTTGAAGGAGAACTCACCCCTGCAACTGCTATGTGCATGAGTAGGTGCTGAGTGCTGTTTGGAATTAGAGATGTGGGTTTTTCATAAACTGTTGCTGTAGATTGAGAACAAAGTGAGCACTCTTAATGAATTCAGAGATTTTTTTTTTTTTGTATTAGAAGGAAACTAAAGTAGTTCAGCAGAGTTATCTGTTAGCAGTAAAGGTTTAATGATTCCATGTAACTTCTCTGCCATGTCAGACTGTCACAAGTTTTGTCATATGTATTCACAACACATCAAACAGAGTCATCAGCAGTTGCAGGGGTAAGAAGCCTCATCTGTTTTCTTTCTTTCTTTCTTCTTCAGTCTTTTTCTCTCTCTGTTCCTCTCCCTTTCTTCTTCTCCTTCTTCTTTTATTCCCTTAAATCTCTTAAGTTTAGTTCACAACCATCCCAAACAGTTTCATGGGTACAAAGTCAGATCTAACAAAAGAAATTATTGCAGACATTTAACTTTTAAATTACAGACTATCGATGGTCCCTGCGAAGTCATAGTTCACACGTGGGAGACTCATCTACAACCACGATCAATTACCCCTTTAGGTATGGGCATCAACTGCATCTGTTTGAGGCATATGCATAAGATTGCTGATATGCTGCACACTGGTTTAGAGGGATTGATACCTGTAGTTTTAAAATACTTAAATTTATTAATGTGTGGGAGGTATAGACTTTTTTTTTTGCAAAACATGGGCCTTACTCTCAAAATATATATGTATATATATGTAAGTGGCTTCAAAATGGGAGTGGATGTGAAATTCTTTGCTGTCATCCTTAAGATTATGTGGGTTGGTTTTTTATTGATTTGAAATTTTAATAATTTTCTGTAAGCTTAATTCTTTGAGACTAAGGATCCATATGATCTCTTTAAAGAAAATGCGGGGAGGGTATGATATTCACTGGTATGATATTCATGGTTTTTTATTTAAATACTTTTTAATTAGTAAAATTTTAAACAAAAAATGTTCAATTAGGCTCCTGTAAGTAAATGGATTAATGAAGGTACAAACATGAATGCACTTATTTACCCGGCAATTTAGCAGAAATGTATTTTGCTGAAAGAAAGGGTGGCATGCAGACTTGCATATGAGTTACTAATGCTTTTCTGAACAGGGAAAAAGTTTGGGTTTTAAGAGTGACTGAAATAACCTTTGAATGTAGCTTGTAGTTTAGATCTCTTATGCTGCTATGGCATGTTTTATGCACTGTCTTTTCTAGCACATAAAAAATACTATTTTCTCCACACTTAGAAGTTCACATTTGTTAAGAAACTTTCTAATTATTTGAAAAAATGTATTTTAGAAAGAAGGCGGTATCAAAGAATCTGTTAGTCATTAATAGTACCATGATCATGTTCTGTTCTCCCTTTGCCTTTTTTTTAAATTATCAGTTGAGTCAGTAGTGTTTCTATTCACGTAAGAAGGTTATTTCTGTATTTGTCAGTAGCTGATAAGAGAAGCAGCCTATCCTCTGCTAGGGCCTAGACTTTATCTCTAAATTTAGATTACTTCATTCAAAGTAGAGATTTTTTTTTTTTACCCCAGGTAATACTGAATTCTTCATAAACAGTTTTTAAGGAAATGCAGCAATGCACAGTATGTTAGCACTGGGTCATTTTGATCCTAAATTGTTGCCTGTGGTTATTAAGAAATTAGATTAGGAGGTGAATGATTCTTAGGGGAAAAAAAGGGATTAACCACTGTAGAGGCAAAATTATGTGAAGCTTTGTGTTTTGAGAAGTGGATGGTTTGTTTAGACTATCTTTTCTGTTAATACTGATGAATTTACTTAGTGCCTTAGGATTTCAGTTCTTAAAGCTTTGGAAAGAGTAAGGATAAAAGTGTGAAGTGAGCGTTTTCAGTATTTCATGCTAGGTTGGTTTCTGTCATGTGGGCAGAATAAGCATTTTAATTGTGACTGACTTGATTTAAAAGCTTTGAATGTGCAGCAGGACAACTTTCTTGTATGTTTGCAAGAAAATTTAATGTCTTTGACACTATTTTGACACGTAAAGCATCTTAGATAATAGTGGGATGTAGTTATCAGCAAAATACTGCAGAAAGCCAGAAAATAGTGCAACCTTTTTACTCAGTTCAGATTCTTAGAAGCGAAATGTGGTGTTTTGTGTGTTGGTTGGTTTTTTTGTGCAGAAAGTGAGAAAACAAACATAAATTGAGATCAATCTTTAGAGAAGGTTGCAAAAACATGCTGCTTTGTCTGTTTCAGTTCTCCTGCATTTTTTTAGATACACTTTTTAGAAGTGAAGTGGAGAAGTAGAATTAATTTAACTTGGCAATGATTTTTAAATGTGAATACTAATTACTTTTTTCCATTCTTTTCCATTCCTTTTAATTCTAGAAAATGAAATTACTGTCGATGATGGAAACTTTGGAATCTGTAGTAAGTGAGCTATATTAACCTTTATTCTTTACCTTTATTCTCTATGAATTTAATTTAAGCAAGGTTAAGTCTTGTAACTGAAAAATGTTTGAAATGATAGGTTTTGAGAAGAATTGCCTATGATAGTTTTCTATGCTTTTACAGATATTTTTGTAACCAGCATTTGTGAATTCACACTCAGGCTGTTACCCCTTCTAACGTTAATAAAAGAGTGCTAGGAAGAGTTGAAGTCTTGTCACTCTGATGGTGTTAAAGGTTGAAATTTGGGAACTATAAATCATGAGCATGCATTTTTTGAAAGTACAGAATAGGCTTAGCTTTTTCTTAATACCTAGCCTTAGAAAAATTCTCATGCCTGCACAAACATAATCACTCACGCTGAATGTTCCCATCTCTTCAGTCAGAGATGCAGCTGCCAAAGGGTTCTTGTAAGCCCACACCTCATGTTCTTGTGTGTGCACCAATGTCTCACTTCTGACGGTTCTGACCCACCTCTCACTTAATGTTCAATCCTCTAAAGTAACTCCTTATCATACCTCATAAATCTTGTCTTCAAGCTTTTCCATTTTCCCCTCATCTCCTCATCAAATGATGGGTTTGGCTCTTTAGGAACTCTTTAAAACTGTAGCGTTTGCTTCAGCACCTGCTTTGCAGCTTGTGTTTCTGGTCCTCCTGCTTGCAGGCTTTCCTTGTTTTGATGTTCAGGTGAGGATTCTCCACACTTTTCATCACAGCTGTTGCTGTAGCCTGTCCTGCAGACTTGCACTGCTTTACTGGCACTGATTATGATGAGCTAATGGACACTTGTATCTCATCAGAAACAGGGAGCCTCTGACTGCTTTGGAGCCCTCAGAGTTCCTGTCAGTATTATTCCATGTGCTTGAGAGATCCCAGGACAAGGGAATGTTCCTCAGTGCTGTCCTGCAGATAGTTTATACATTATCATTGTTGCTGTTTAATCCCATTAAAATCCAGTTCTTGGTGGCTGTTCTGGGTAGTTCAGAAAGTCTGGGGAAAGGCTGCACCCAGCTTCTTGCATTACTGTAGATCAAGGCTGGTGATAAGGAGGATTATCTGGAAGGTGATGGCAAGAGGAACTGCCTAGATCTCCCTAAAATGAGTTACTAAAATGTCTTCTCCTCTTTGTTTGCCTTTTGATAGATAGTATTGAAACTGTGGATGCTGGGTGGCTGACATGTCAGACAGAAATAAGGCTACGTCTGCATTATTCCGAGAAACCCCCTGTACTGATTTCTAAGAAGAAATTTAAAACATCAAGGTTTAGGTAAGAGCCTGCTCATCTCAGTATGCAATTTACCTCATGTTAATTGTCAACACCAGGGATATATTTTTTTACTTAATTGATGTAGCCTTTAAGTTAATTTTGGGTTACTAATAGCCCAATTTCCAAGTGTTAAAGCACAAATATTTACTCCATAATTGTCTTGGTGTTTCTTGCTTTTTGGCTGGAAGTGTAGTGTTCTTAGGTTCTTACTAGGATCTTCGTAATTTCTTACAACTCATATTGGTGGTGTTCTCTGCAGAGATGCCTCAAAAAGCAGGCATTTTTATAACTCCACAGTTAATTGTCAGAAATGGGTGTCTTAGCCCTGGTGTTTAGAGCACTCCACTATTGCACACAGCGGATAAGGATTTGGCTGGGTGGTTGGCCTGGATGTTGTGGTCAGCAGCTTGATGCCCCAAGTGAAAACCAGGGATGAGGGGTGTCCCTAAGGGGTTGGTGGTGTTTGTGACATGGAAAATAGGGTTGAGTGTCCCTTCAGTAGTTTGCTGATGACAGCAGCCTCAGGGGTGCAGTCGCACTGGAGGAAAGGGATGCCATCCAGAGGAAGCTTCACAGGCTTAGGAGTTCAGATCTCACCAAGGCCAAGTGCAAGGTTCTCCACTTGAACTGGAGCAATCCCAAGTGCAGGCCCAGTGGAGAATGGATTGAGAGCACCCTGAGAAGGACTTGGGAGTGTTGGTGATGAGAAGCTCGATGTGACCCAGCACTGCATGCTTGCAGCCCAGAAGGCCAAGTGCATTGTGAGCTGCAGCAGCAGTGGGGCCAGCAGGGTGAGGGAGGGGATTCTGGCCCCCTGCTCTGCTCTGCTCTGGTGAGACCCCATCTGGAGAACTGCATCCAGCTCTGGGACCTGCAGGATAAGAAGTACATGGAGCTGTGACAGTGAGTCCAGAGGAGAGAGACCATGGAGGTGCTCAGAGGGCTGGAACACTTCTGCTGAGGACACAGGATTAGAAATTCTGTCTTCAGCCTAGAGAAGAGAAGACTCTGGGAAGACCTTTGCTGCAGTCCCTAAAGAGAGCTGAAGAGGGGCTTTGGACAAGGTCCTGGAGTGATAGGACAAGGGAGAACTGCTTTAAACTGAAAGAGGACAGGGTTAGATTAGATATGAGGAAAACATTCTTTAGTGTGTGGGTGGTGAGGCACTGGCACAAGTTGTCCAGATTTGTAGGTGCTGAGACCCAAGAAGTGTTCAAGGCAAAGTTGAATGGGGCTTGGAGGAACCTGGTTGAATGGGTGTCCCTGTCTGTGGTGGGGGGGGGTTAGAACTAAATGATCTTTAAGATCCCTTCCAAACCATTCCATGGATCTGTTATACTTGATTTATTTCTTTCCTTCAAGTTTTGTTTTGATTCCCCCTCCCACCAATTCCAGATTTGCTGATGAGGGGAAGATTTATTTAATATGATGCTCTTCACTGAGATTTAATACTTACATTGTGTTCTGTACAGCTTTGCCTGTTTTCCTTGCATGTTATAGCAGGTAGAGCAATTTCTGAAGCCAGCTTCTTGTCCAAGTTAAATGGTTGAAATAAAACTCAATAAGCTAGTTGCATTCACTAAATACTCTGTCCTAAAATGTTGGATCTGTCCAGTAGTTTCTGTGACTGTCACTCGCTATGGCAGTGTCATTTTTCAAGTTTCTGGAGTATCTGTGTTGTAACTTCTTTTTTTTTTAAATGAGGATATATTTCAATGTGGACTTGCTGTAATAGATTTCCATTATTGTAATTATTTCTTTGAGATATGACTTCAGTTTTACTGGTGACTTGGCATCTATAAATGATACTCCTGTATCTCATCTGCTGTGTCTGTGATGCAGGAAGGGATTTGGTTTACTCATGTATGCTTACTTCACTGACATAACTAATTTTGTCTGGGAGTTTTGCTCTCTATGATAAAGGACTTTGAGTCTTATAGAGGCTTATGCTTCTCAGTTCAGGATTTTTCAGAAATCCATTCAGTTTACATGCTCATTTAGGATTTTTCAAGGGACATAATTGCATCAGCCTATATTGCTTATGTCTATTAGAGTATATTTGTCTGCTTTATCAGAGAGACATAGCAGCAGCCACCAATGTTCCAGTCTTGATCTTGATGATGACTGCTGTTTTCAGTGCTTTTCCTTAGCCTGTTGGCATTATGGGTGTCATCCTGTACAGGAAGGCTGTCTATTTGGCAGCCCAAATAGTCTGGTGGAGTGCAGCTTTTCAGACCAGTAGTAGAGTTTTCAAATTTACCCAGGTTCAACTTCTAGCAGTGACTTGAGCACTGCAATCTGACTAAAACAGGATTTATACAATGGCTGCAAACTCTTGCTCGTGTGAGGACACTGTATACAGTCCTGTTCTGTGAGTGGTGGAGTTGAGAAGAATTCTTGTGTCATACGAGCTTCTGCTCAGGCTTGTTCCTAAATCTTTATCATTTGTAAAGGCACTGCAGTGACTTAACCATTTGTTTTGTGTTTCTGGTCGAGTAGAGTAAAATTGACCCTAGAAGGGCTAGAGAAGGATGATGATGAAGAAGGCCAAGAGAAGACATCCCCTACTGTCCCTCAGAAAATGGCAAACACGGTGGAGTTCTCCTGGATCAGTGACACTGACTACATATGTCGACGCACTCAGCCAGACTGTGGCTATATTTTGCAGCCAGACCGATGGATAGAATACACAATACAAACCATGGAGCCTGATAACTTGGAATTAATATTTGATTTTTTTGAGGTATGTCTCTTTACCCCTAAGAAGCAACTGCAGTCTGCCTTTTGGAGCTCAGTTGTTGTGAAGATTCCACTGTTGAAACGGAGCTACTGCCTGATGTTCTTCATCTTTTGTTTACACAAAGTGTGAGACTTGACTCCCAGCCCATTGGTAGAAAGGTTTTTGTGAGCCTTCTTGATGTGGCACAGGAGGTTTTTCAGTTCTGCTTTTATTTAGAAGTCAGTACAAATTAGACTTGAATCTGTGTGTCTGCAGTATTGCATGCTGTTAGGTTGGCTTGATATTAATCCTTTATCAGAGCTAAGTTATGCTTCTCCTGCTTCAGACTGTACAATGTGTGTATGGATTGGTTATATCACAACTATCGAATCTAAATTTTTATATTAGAAGCAAAAGACATTTCTTTGAACTAACTCATGCAGATTAAAACTGGATTCTCACTACTGTGTCTGTTATTTTGCACTGTTTTTTCCCCTGAAGGGTCTTAGTATTTGAAGTTCTTTTTAAAAGAAAGCAACTTACACAGAATACAGCAGAATAAAGTTTTTTAAGCATTCTCTTTTTGGTCTGAAAATGCCTTCAAGATCACTTACAGTCATAATTGTAAAGTGTCTACATAGTTCCTGAACTTGACTGTGGTCAAGTGCACATTCTGTATATTAGTTCTTCCTTGCAAATGCATACTGCATTTTTTAGCATTTTAAGCATAAATATTCTTCCAGTTCATTTTTGTTCTAAATAGAACTTGGGCATTTTAGAAGACAGACTATTCCATGCATGCTATTTTGATGTGAAAAGCTTATGAGATGTAAGGGGTGTCAAAGAAAAATATGAATTTTGTAGATTTCTGTTAAGATTTTCATTTTCCTGATAGTAATTCGTAACTCACTGTTACATTAAACAATTTTAGCTGAAAATAGTGTTTTATGTAACACACAAGAAAACTTGTGTTGTGTCCTGAGGAGCAAGCCAGAAGAGTTTGTGTAGAATTCTCATTCACAACTAACAGTGGGGGTTTTGGATTTTTGTTTGTTTTGTTTTCAGGAAGATTTAGGTGAGAAGGTGGTACAAGATGATGTGCTCCCAGGTCACGTAGGCTCTGCCTGCCTCCTGTCATCCACAATCGCAGAATTCGGAAGGAGTTCTGGAGTTCTTACACTGGCTATCATGAGCAGAAATCCAAGGAAGACAATTGGAAAAGTTAGAGGTACGGTTGATGGCAACAACAGATGCAGATAACTTTCCTCAAAGCTGTCTGCTGTTTACTGACATGTGAAGCATTGCTGTTGTTCTTGCAGTGGACTACATCATCATCAAACCCATCCAGGGATATGCTTGTGATATGCAGGCTTCATATGCAAAGTACTGGAAACCAAGAACAACTCTGGATGTTGGACACAGGGGAGCAGGGAATTCTACAACAACAACTAAGTAAGTTTGTTTGCATTTTAAACTGAGGAAATTGTTTTGTGTTACTGACATCGGTTGAGGAAGTGGACAGTTTACAAAGCTGCAACCCATAGTCATTTACTTCAGTATCAAGTTGTGGGTATTCCCTAAAACAAAAACTTCTGATTTGTGTTTCTGTTGTTTTAATTCTGTGCTATACTGCGTCTAACAAACCCTTTTTCTTGGCTGTTGTTTCAGGCTTGCTAGAGTTCGAGAGAACACCATTGCATCCCTGAGGAGCGCTGCTAGTCATGTATGTGCACACATTTTCATACACACAGCACCTGTCTAGTGCAAACTAGGTTGGCTTGTACACTTAATTTGCATGATTCAATACAGTGAATGATAATTGGACTGATGTAAATTAGATAAAATCACTATGGAAATGGCCTGAGTTATGGGAAGTTAATAGTAGGTTAGACTCTGATTCTCAAGTCCCTTTAAAAAATCAAAACTTCCATTTAGTGTATTCTGCTGGTATTCTAATACAGGGAGAATTTTAATCTCAACCCTGTACAGACAGTTTGAACAAATGAATCAAATTTTGCCACTGCTGGAGTCTGTCAGCATCCTCTCATGTGGCAAAGGTCTTGCTCAGGGACTGCTGTGTACTGAAACTTGCTGTCTGAAATTGTGACTTGGGAGCTGAGCTGGTAGAATAAACCAATCCTTGTTTTGGTGCTTGCTGCAGTGAAGACTTGAAATCTTAAGGCAGAACTTCCCGTTTGGGAGATAATAGCTCCATGTGCCTAAATTCTGTGATGGAGGTGATCACTTTTATTCCTTCCAGTAATCTTGATCACTGAATAAAACCATAGCTGCTAAATGACTGTTTTGAACAGTAGTTCTTAATCCTCGAGTGGACACTACAGGTTTATAGACAGGCTTTTAGAATGCTCACAAGAAATATGCATTGAGGCAGAAATTTCCTGTGAAGTCATCAGCAGCATCGCCAGAGAATTGCTTTCATCTATTTCCAGATTGAAAAGGCTGACAAGCCACCACTTTAAAAATATTTCTGCTGAGAAAAGGGCTGAAAAAAACCCATGTCCTGTTTTCTCTCTGTGCTGATTGAAAAAGTGGGTGTCAGGGTGATAATTTGATGAATGGTATTCTTGGAGGCCTTCAAAGGAATGACTTGCAGAAAGTCAATATAAGTAAAAAACCCCAAAACTTTTACTGTCTTACTCTTTCTTTCTGGCCCCCCCTCTTTTCCAGAAGACTGTACTTCGAGCTTTTGGATCTTTCTTCCTTTTTTAAAGCCTAACAGAAAATCATTTACAGCTGAAAAGGGCAGGAGAGTGCTGGATGCAGCTATTTCTGCTCTTGCACAGATTATAATACACTGCTGCTGTGTTACTCACTAGTGACTCCAAAAGTTTGTTCCTGTATGGAATATCTCCCTAAAGCCTTGGCCATGTGGAGCCATCACTTGTCTCTTGGTGTGGTGGTGGGAAGGAGGGAGGAAGATGCCTCAAAATTATCTGTGTTTAAAACATTTGTGTCTAAAAATATTGTCTTGGCCTTTCTCTGTAATCAGGTTCACAAGACTTGAATCTTATTAGAGGGTTTTACAAGATTAAGCAAGATATATATATGTGTGTGTGTCTGTATTATGGTAATTAGGATAATTTGCCATATATTTTTTTCATCTTTAATAATCTATTGCTGAACATGATTTAACTGGTAGCAGCTAGGTGTATTCAACTTCTGCTTGATGTCCAGGACCTGTGAATACTTGACAATACTTGCATACAGTTCTATAGTCCTTGTGTATAAGTAGTTAATGGGCTTTTGTTTTGTTCTGTGTGATTTTCAATTTTCTGTAGGGAGCAGCATTTGTGGAATTTGATGTACATCTTTCTAAAGATCATGTGCCTATAGTATACCACGATCTCACGTGTTGCATGTCCATGAAAAAGGTAAAGAAGATAATAGCTGTATTTTATGTATAGATATGCCTATTCTAGAAATTTAAAATGTTAAGCTCTCATAGAAATAATTCTGGACTCTCAAGGGATAGAATGACAATAAATATGCAGCATTACTAGTGTACAGAGCAGGGAAGTTGAGTTTTTTCCTTTGATGTTGTAGCAACAGCATTTCAGATGCATGGTTTGGCACTCTTCAAGCTCACATTGTAATTACTATTTAGCTTCTTTCTGACCTAAGATTTGGAAGAAAAAAAGCCGACAGCTCTGCTATATTCTGTGGTGCCTATGGGGCTCTCTTATACTGAGGCCTGAATGCATTCTGTCCTGTTCTGCTTATCTTCCCTCCTGGTGCTGGCAGTGAATCCAGAGAGAGATTGCAGAGCACTTTTTGGCAGTGGGTCTTGTGTTTTCAAACTCCCACACTCATTGCAGTATTGCACTTTATAAGAAGCTTGGTTTAGAACAGCTGTTGAAATGGACCTTGACTGAGCGGAATGAATATTCAGTGTATCTTCACTCAGTATTGTCTTGCTCAGTAAAAATTTCTTAGTGAAGAGGGGAAGTGAGAAATGGACAGAATTTTTTGACCCCAGATCTTTATTTTGGGAGTGGTCTGTGTGTGTGAATTTTACTCCAGGACATTTATCTTTTTTTATTAATTTCTGAGACATTGGATAAACAGCAGTAAAGTGAACTGCCTTGGAATATTTTTTACTGCATTTCTTTACTTGTAAACATCTTTCCTGAATGCATTAACCAATCAAGATTTTACAGAATAATTATGCTAACATTTTGGGAGGCAAGAACTTTAAAGCTCTGACTTGCGTGAAAGACAAAACACTAAGTTTCTTTCAAACTGTTTTATGCTTTTAGGTGCCAGTGTTCTTGTAAAAACTGATCATCTTAATAAGATATCACTTGTATCTTTATCAATAAAATATGAAACATTAATTGCCTTTATGGCTACTATATGAAAAGTGTGTAGGCTTTTTTGTTTTTTCAGTGATGCTTAATTATGTGTTGGTTCTCTTCAAAGAAACTGGACACGGAGCCTTCAGAACTGTTTGAGATTGCAGTCAAAGAACTCACATTTGATCAGCTGCAGTTATTAAAGGTATTGTTTCCTTGCCTAGTACAATATGCCATGTGTAGAATTTTATGAAGCTTGGAGGTTTTGGGAGTGACTACAGATAGTTTGGGAGAGTACAGTTTTAAAAACTGTACAAACAGAACAATTAGGTAATTCCAAGAAAAATACTTTTGCACCGTTTTTACAGCTTGGATAAATGTTACTACTTTTATCCTCTCAAAATATGGTATCTAATTTTCAAATGATAAAGGGACCGTGTTGAACTGCTCTACCTTCCAAACAGAAGTGCCCTGTCTAGGTAAAAAAGGGATGAGTAGGCTACTGAAGACCCTGCTGAGATACCTGCCCTCAGTCAAGGAAACCATCTGGCTGGTCTATGTACCATATGATTCTTTTTACTTAAAATTACTTGGCCTGCTCCCTTTTGTGAAGAGAGCATTTGAATGGAGCAGAGGAGTTGGCTGTGTCTGGCCTGATTCTAGCTCAGTATGTGTGACTGTAATATAAAACAGGTCAGCCCTTTGCACTGCATTGAAACACAGAGGAGGGATTAATGTTCAGACTTCTTCACATCTTGATATTGAATTATAGTTTGCATGGGTTTACCCTTAACACGATTCCTGAATTTTCAGTAAGCATGTTTTCAGTTTGGTTTTGAGCTTTTCTTGAAATCGTTAAAACAAAGTTTGAAAGAAAATTGTGATGTATACAATATGGTCTTTTATTCTTTTACAAATTACTGTAACTATGTCTGTAATAGACTTTTAAATTGTAAAATTATTTACAAGCAAAATGAGTTACGTTTTACATGTAGGAAGATGTGGGTAGAGTGTTAATGTTGCTCTTATGCTCTTCAGCTGGCTCACGTGACGGCCCTGAAAGTAAAAGATCACAATGGTATGTACTAGTTTGGAAGAGTGTTGGGATTGATTTGTTGCCATGTAATTATATAAATTCTGTGGTTGCAGTTGCTTATTGTAATCACATTTGTCCTGAACATTTCTAAATGCTTATGTAGTTAATTTTGTGCATGCTGTGGAGGCCTTTACTGGGAAGGAAATATCTGAACAGAAGTTACTCCCTTGGGAAGCAGGGACAGAAGGGTAGAAGGCAAATATATAGATCAATATGTGTTTCTGAATAATCATAACAAAATTGCCACTGATGTTTCTATCTTATGCCTCTCCAACTGTACCGTCAGCTCTTCAGACTTGCTGGCAAGAACTTTGGTAACTGCTGTAGGATGTCTTATCAGTGCTGTAAATTTTTGGCCTTAATTATCCCCTTTGTAGGGACAGCAAATTATCTCACACATCCTACCTGTATAAGAAAAGATTTTTTAAACAAATAAGCATTGATAGCTGAGGCTTATTGTGGATATAATTCTCTGAGTGAAATGGTGAGGGATGGGAGAAGCCATTCTGATATATAATGGCAAGGTTTTAAATTCCAAACCAGGAATTGCCAACACCATCATTGGAGTATGTCAGTGTTAGAGGAAAAGGTGTAGGTAATCAAAAGGGAGACCTGATTTCATTATTCACTCCAAAAGGCCTTACGATTTTGGGCCAGTCTTTTCTTGCTGGCATTACTGGGATTATTCTTCTGTTTGTTTTAATTCAATATTTTATCTTTCTTTCCAGCATCTTTTAAAGAGGAAGAGAACTTTGCTTTTGAGATGCAGCCATTTCCTTCTCTGCAGACAGTAAGTAGTGAATATGGAGCAAGATGACTGGGGAACATGAAAACCTGTGTTTTACTTTCAGCTTTGCACATGTAGTAAGGGGGATATTGATTTTTGGGTTTAGACCTCTGGTATCAATACTGGAACTGAGAACAGGGGTTTTATTGTTAGACACTGGAGGGTTTTCAGTGCTTACAGGTCTGTGTGTATTTCAAGCTTCTGAATTTGTGAGCCCAAGCTGTGTTGCTCAGGGTGCACTCAGTTTTACAGCTGCCCCAACATGTGGGCATTGCCTGTTAATGCATTGGCAGTTGTTTCTAATTGTGAAAGAAACCACACCTGGCCTTTGGCAGTTCCTCACAGTGTCTTGGCCATCTTTCAGAGCCAGACACTGAGAAATGTTGAGTGAATTTCCAGTGAGTTTCCATTTAGGACTGGTTTGTGTTAGCTCCACCTCTTGAAATCACCTTGCAAAATTCTTTACGGGAATTTCACATGAGAGAACTTTTGTTATCATGGTAATGGCAAGCTCCTGGATTTCATGCTTAAGATGCATTTTGCATTCAAAATAACTTTCTGGAGAAATAAAAAAAAAATTTTCTTTAGGAGTACAAATGGGGCGTTTCTTACATGTGTTAAGGTGAATTGACTCACATCTGTATGTTTGTCAAAATCTTGTCCTTAAGATTGTATCCACTTTTATATATTCATTAGGTTTAAACTGGAGTAGAAAAGAGTGTATATGTGTGTTGTATAAATGTTAAAAACCTAGGGTTTTGAATTTTACTGTTAGACACCATTAGAATTAAACTCCAATGTATTCTCCCAGCAATTACCTTCTCAGTGCTTTGTTGTGGGGTCCTCCTTTGCTGTGGTGTCACTTCATAGTAAAATTTTTTTTAGGTCCTGGAGTCTGTTCCTAAAGATGTTGGGTTCGACATAGAAGTAAAATGGATCTCCCAGCAAAGGGTGAGTAAACATACATGTGATTTACTTTGTTTGTTTGACATTCTTATGGCTAAAGCTTGTAATTTGATGTGACAATTTATGAGCTGCAAAGGCATAATTTTTGTGGGGGTTTGTGCCTTTTTAAAAAAAAATACTGCATTATTTTTAAACTGGGAGTATAGGAGTACCACTCCAACAAATTAACAGTTTTATTCTTAAAATGATAAAATTTATAGGATTGAGTTCAGACTGCTTTTGGCAGGAGATTCTTTTTAGAGTCAACAGCTCACAACAGGACAGGCAGGAAAGTGCCAAGAAATTCAGCCCCTCCTGGCCCTGTGCAGGAGCAGCTACAACATGGTGCAGTAATGCAAGCAGCTGCTTCCTTCTAGTCAGCAGGGTTGCAGACTCAGCTGGATTGTGCAGCACTCAGTCCAGAGGGAAATGGTTGTAAAGGCTGGGATTGGAAGCCTGGAGTGGGAGAAGGAAGCTAAGGACAGTGGTAGGTGGGAGTCAGTATGCTAGAAATAACAACAGAGAGTAGCTGCTGTAATTACTGGTCTTCAGGGAATTTGTGTTTTTGTAGTTGTAATAGGCATTCCTAGGAATGCATTCCTTGGATGGGGAGACAGGGAGTTTTTCAGTGAATTTCATTGCTGTAAGAATTCAGCTGCACCTCTCAGGCTGTCAGTCCTGGAGAGTTGGAAGCAGCACTGAACAGACTGAGGGATTGATTCTGCATTCAAACTGGCCAGCTGAGTTCTCACTTTGCTCAGGTTGATTGAGAGACCATTGCTGGTTAAAATAATTTTAGTAAGCATTAATTTAAGTGACTCAAACTTGTGCTTTCTTTTTCCAGGATGGACAGTGGGATGGCAACTTGTCAACTTACTTTGATATGAACACTTACCTAGATATTATTCTGAAAACTGTTTTGATGAATGCTGGACAAAGAAGAATTGTGTTTTCTTCTTTTCATGCAGATATTTGTACAATGTAAGTTAAGAAGAGAGAAATAATGTACTTTGTTTCTGAAATTTATTTTATTTGGTAAAATTTACTTTGTATTTAAAAATACACACCAGGAAATAAATAACAGGTGTTTTCCTTAGACATAAAGTTTGGATACAGTTCCCAAAATAGTTGGGAACTGAAATGAGACCACTTTGCTATCTGGAATGAGCCTGAAAAATAAAAATAGGTGAACAAAGTCATAGTGTATATTTTTGTCAAGCGCCTTTCTGGATGCATCACTCTTGCTTAGCACAACAAAAAAGGTCAGGGTTTCTTCTGGTATCCCAAAGTCTTTTCCAGTCATACTTGAGGGCTATGTAAGCCTAACTTAGGAACAAATAATCTTCTTACAGTATTCAGCTTGAAAAATGCATTAGTAAAGTTAGGGGTTTATTATTAAACATGGTGTATTAACCATGTTTATAAATTCCTGTCATGGATCTTCATGATCATGAATCTGTGCACTGAAGAAGAAAATTACAGAATTAAATGGCCTTTGGGAGATTATATATAAACATATTGAGGATGTAAGGCTGAGTTCAACATCAAGTCTAGCTTTCCCTAACATGTTGTGTTAATTTCCAGTAGTGGCAAAAGGACTCAGTTGAGCAGTCTGTCAGCACAGTTTGATGCTAAACTGCAAGACCATCTCCTTGCACCAGTTAGGAATTAGAAGACAGGACACAGGACTAGAACATACAGGAAAGAGAGGAATTCCCCTTGAAACAGTGAGATCAAATCAAATAAATGAAAGTTGTTTTTTCACTTTTTTTTCTTCCATTTGTTACTTGTGGACTTTTTTCCTGGCAGGATCCGGCACAAGCAAAACAAGTATCCTGTGTTATTTCTCACCCAAGGGGAATCTAAACTCTTTCCAGAGCTGATGGATCTCAGATGTCGCACAACTCCAATTGCCATTAACTTTGCACAGTTTGAGAACTTGCTGGTAAGCTGACAAGTTAAAATCAAACTGAATTATTACTGCTTCTTTTAAATCTATCATTTTTGGCAATAATGCTTTAAATTATGACTAACCTCACAAAAGAAATACACTAATATTGGGTAACTGCCAAAAAAAGTCCATTGTTTGAAATGGTTTTTAATACAATGTTTTAAAAATAGCAGTGTAAATAAACACTCTAATTGTATTAAATATTTTTTATTGTCATGGATGAAACAGTAAGGAGCTGCCAGTGTTAAAAGATTAAAAAAGCTGATGTAAATGTCTCAGAAACATGGATTTTAATTGATTTTGTATTTCAGGGAATTAGTGTGCATACTGAAGACCTGCTGAGGAATCCAGCATTTGTTACACGGGCCATATCCAAAGGCCTGGTGATCTTTACATGGGGCGATGATGCAAATGAGCCGGATAACAGGAAGAAGCTGAGAGAATATGGTGTTCATGGGTTAATATATGACAGGTACTTAGCTGTGGCTTTTTAAAAGAATCATCATAATCACCACCATCATCAAGCTTAGAAACTGTTGTAAATTGATTCTGGTGAAATTTCATGGTGCTTCTTGGTTGACTGGGTGCAGAAAGTACCAGGACCCCATAAACCTGGGCCAAGAATAAGTCTAACACCAGTTCCCACTCTTTCAGGTGTATCTATGAAGCAAAATAACTTTTGTTTTTCCTGAGATCAACATATATGTAATTTGGTCCTTTAAAGAATCAGTGTATGGCATACATGTTTAAGATGCTACTAATATTCATGATAGTAATTTTTAAGTTACGTATGTGATACAATGAGGAAAATGTTATTGAATTGTTTGACTGGAAGTTTCAGCATTCTACATTGACCTGTGGAAATAGTTAACATTCTCCTGTGTTCCAAAGCTGTGAATTCACATTTTTCTTATTAAAATTACCTTGGAGTGACTCCAGGGCAAACTACCAAATTAGTAATTTCAGAAAGTAGCTGTTACATCCAAAAATTCAGGCAGAAACATCAGAATACTGTGTTAAATATTTTAACAAAAGTGTTGTTGCATTATCTGGTTGCTTACAACAACTCAAAGTTTTTAAGTCTTTTGTCTTTGAAGATGAGAAATTCATCATTATGAGATGAAGTTTAATTTGAAAAGCTGTATTAAACTAGAATTTCCAATAGATAAGAAAGTAATTGGGAAAACATTAAGTGTAACTGAAGTTTGAAATTACAGAAGGCTTTCAAACCTTCTGCTTTAGCAAGAGTATTGCTTTGAATATTGTTTTACCTAAAAAAAAACCCCAAAAAACAAGCAAACAAAAAACACAGAGGAAGGGGGAATCAATAATTGTCAAAGCCTTCATTTTATAAAGTGAAAATGGAGAGTCAATTTAATCATCTCTAGGGGCAGGAAATCAAATATGTTTGCTCCTAGGGTTCTGGGCTCTCAGTGCAAAAAAAAAAAAGTTAACTCTTTTCAATCTGTTCTTGACTTCTGAGAGTCCTTTCAAGGTGGTGGGTCCACTGCTGCTCAGTTTGCCAGAGGTGCCACTTCTTGTGCTGTACAGAATGTCTCCCATTCATTGGCAGTAAAAAAAAAGGAATAACTAGGTTTTTACACTGGGGATCAGCTTCAGACTGAGGACTTGGATACATAAGCCCTCTTTCCTGCTACAGCTGTGCTGTGTGCTGCACCTCTGCTACAGCTCAGGATTGGGGCCCAGTTTAGTCACTGAAAAATACCTCTGGATTGGAATGTAGGTGAAAGAATCCTCTAACTATATAATGTGCAGTCAGAGGGTAATGAAATTTTATGCTGTGCTATGCATAAGTTAAGGTGATACATTGTTGGTGGGGTGTTTTAATCAAACACCACTGCGTAAAGCGTTTGTGAAATGTTCATCTCATGTCTACTAATCCAGTCTTCCAGAGTTTTTAATTACTCCTTGTGCAGTAGATATTCACTACTGTGGTAAAACAGTAAAGCAGGGGACAGCCTAATTTCTGACTTCACGTTGCCTTTATTGCTTTAGATGCTCCATGCTACTTAAATGTTGTGGCATTTATGTTGAGGCTGCAAGTCAGCTACTCGTCACCTTATGTGTCCTGTTGTACTCTTTGGTGTGCTTTAAGTTGTGGTAGGACAGTAGAACACCTTTTATCTCTTTCTGATAACCAGCCAATTTGTGTGAAGGCTGAATTCCCTTGTGGATTTCACTGAACAAAAATTTCTTAACCTTCCTTCGTTGTTTACATGATCTGGATCCTTAACAGTGTTCATCTCTCCTCTCTCTGCTGCTCCTCTGTCACTTCCACTTCAACATCTTCCCATTTTTTGGAGAGGAACCCCAAAATTAGTATTAACTCCAAAGCTGTTATTTCAGGCTTGTTAAGTGTAATTTCTAAATGTAATTTCCCTTTTTTTTTCTGTAGGCCAAAACAAACAATGGGATGTCCCTTTGCAATTCTTAATTACTTTTCAAGTTTTACTAATTGTGTGAGTAAAATTAAATTCACTCTTAATGCAGGTTAGGGATATGACAATTTGTGAAAGTTGCATCAGATGTCTCAAGGTGGGCATTTTGAAATGCAGGTGGTACCTGCAAGTCCTGGAATGTAGGGATGTAAAACCCAGCAGCAAATGTTTCACTCACAGCTGGAGCTGCTGGGTAAAGAGCCAGTCTTTCAGATCACCTGACACTTGAAGTTGTTATTTAGAGTTTAAATAGATATGGTGTCATCATCCATATCCTGTGCTGTTTGGAATTCAGAAATAAATGTAAAACTAAATTTAAAAAGCAGAACTCAAGAGAGATGTACATGACTGTTCCAAGGTCTAAGTGATAAGTAGGGACTGCAATAATCTGTTTTAGTGTAAAGCCAGTTAATGCTGTTGTTTTGTCTTCAAATTCCATAATATTTCCAGGGCTGAATTAAGATGGTGCTTCTTCCATGGTTTCTGTATTTTTGTTCTCTGGATTTATGGCCAAGTCCAGATATCTATCAAATATGGTATTTTGTGTTGCTGTTTACTAGGCATTTACTTACACCATGTTAAGTGCTAATTGTCTGAATAATTTAGGAAGTGAATAGAGGAATTGTAGTGAATTTTAGGTTGCTTGTACGTGGCCCCGAGTTACTGTGTGCAGTAGTTATTTCTGAGATTATGAACTGTGTGCATAGAGATTATTTCTGTAAGCTATTTTTTTCCAAACTTTAATCATCCATGTAGAATTGACCAAAACACTATAGCCAGTTGTGAAGATGGCAGAAAAACTGTGTCCTGAATACCAAAAGTTGGTGATACCAAGCACTGGGCAAATAAAAATGCAGGTAGGGGGTCTGGCTTTGCTTTGCATGGAGAAAAGCTGCAAGACTAAATCTGGGAAGCTTACAAATGCCAAAAATTTTAAAAGGCTGATCTCACTGGGGCGGAGGAAAGAACACAAATGTATTCCCTCCCCCCATCCAGGCCTTTCTCCACTTGGGCTGCAAATTATCACAGCCAGAGTCATCAATCCAAACAGATGTTCTGGGATGCTGGGGTGATATTCTCCATTTTTCTATGTTCAGCTACCATTCATCTCAGGGTTTAACCAAATTATTTGAATTAAAAAGGCAGCCTCTACAGAAAGGTGCCATGTCTGCCTTCAGGCTTTTGTTTGGGCTCTTAAACAAGAAAATACTTTATGTGCATGACTGGGTATCTTCTGTCTGCACAGAAATCACGTCCTTAAAATGCTTTATTAGTCTGATGTTTCAGTTTTAATTAAAGAAGAAATTTCAACCTATTGTGAAATTCTCTGGCTTGGTTAAAATGCTGATTTTTAAAGCAGGATTTCTGAGGTGATTTATCTGGTGTTTTTCTCCTGGGTAGGCTTTGGAGACAGTCCAGAAATATTTCTGTATTTGAAGATACTTAACTGAGTAAGAACAATGCAGCCTTGTGTTTTTACACCTCTGGCTGTATATTGAATACCAATGTGGAGAGGGGGTGGGTGCTAGCTTACACTTGCATCATCTTTTCTCATTCACTTTACATTATCTGAATTTTGTTTGTTGAATACTACACAGAGCTGCATAAAAATACTAAATCACTGTTTCCCAAACATGGATGCTGAGAGCTTTCCCATGACAGCTTTGTCCAAACACTGGAGTTCTTTAGGCTGCATGTTGCATTTGCAGGCAAAAGCTGTGCTTGACTGGTATTAGTAACTTCCCAACATTTACACAAATTTAGCTGGCAATCAAATCAGAAGCATTTTAAACACTTCTCAAAAGCACAAGACTGCTGAAATCTGGGCTGCCCTGTTTGCCTGAAACTGCATGTTACTTAAATAACAGCATGGATATGTGGAGGAAGTGTAGTATGAGTTGATTTATAATCTACACAGTGACTGAATTAAGATGTTGTGCAATGACAGTTTAAGTCGTCCCCATTTTGTGCATTGCAAAGTAAACTCGAAGTTTTCCTCGAGATCTAAAGAAAAGTGAAAAGCTTTAATCAAAAGCTTCAGAAAATCTTTTGAGCATGAAAACAGTATTTCAGTGCTGCTGCCTCTTGTCTTGTATGTGTTGTCAGAGGAGCCAAACACATCAGTTTTACACCCACTGCAGAGCCCTGCAACATCCTGCAAGTCTTTTGTAGAAGGTGCTTACTTTAAAAAGTAATGTTTAAAGGACTTCTCAGTCTTCTGCAGGGCTTGCTTGTTAGCACGAGGTTGGATGGAGAAACTTTGATGCATAGTTGCTTACAAATTATTGTCCTGTTGAAGAATGGAGGATAGGGAGATGAGAGTTTATTCCTTATCTTTACAGTGGTGTTGGAAATAATTAGAGAAGCACTGGAGCTCTGTGCCTGCAAACTGATGGTGTACTTTTGTGGACCCAAATGAAAAGCAGGGTCAAGAAATTCTGAAGTTCTGCTTTGAGTTGTCTTCTCTGCCTTTGGTTTAAAAGAAACCAAATACCCACATTGGAGTGGACTGGCTCTAGTGGACAACTTAAAAGGAGATTGGAGGGTTGAATTCATCCAGAATCTCAATTGAAAAGAATTTAGAATGGAGCAGGAATTGAAGAGTTTATATTTGTTGCAGTAAAGAACTAGTAATAAAGTACTTGCCAGAAGCTGCTTAGAATATGCTTAGCCATGTTCTAGGAATAAGGGGCTTAGAAGAACCATTCTTTTGCTCTCTAACTCAGTTAGAGTCTAACTGATGGGAAAGACTTCAGATTCTTAGTTTCTAACGTATTTTATATAGAATACTATGCTCAAGTTTCAGTGTTCTGTCTGGAATTCACAGGGAAATTCATAAGGTGTCAGCTGACTCAACTGAAGAAAGCACAGGAAGGTAGAGCTGTTATTTTGCAGAAAACTTCCATTGGGCAAATTTGGGTCATATTTTAGGCCTGATTGGATTACAAATGTGTGCAAGTAATTCAAGTGCTATGCCTTCTGTTTGGATTTCATCAAACTGGACAGCATCTATCCTCACTTCTAGGAGTTCCTTCACAGAAATTGTCCTTGACCTTACTGTGATCCATATCAATATTTCCTGTGGAAGTGTTTCCTCACTTGAATGCCATTACTGTACCCATCTTTGAGCTGCATGTTGGTTTTGGTGTCTTGGAGTTGCCAGCAGTTCACAAGTTGTCCTGTCAGGGTAAAAGGGCACCTTGCACTCTCTCACTTGAGCACTACATTGTTTTGTTAGTGGCATTGGTTCCTTTTGGGCATAACTTGAAAATGTGTGAGAAACAAAGGATGATGAAATAAAAACAAACTACTTTCTTGAAGGAATCATAGTGAAGTATGACCATTCTTAAAGACTAAGGCAGAAGCCATGGTAACTTCTTGCAGAAGTTTTCATTTGAAGGAGAAAAACCTGAAGACCTGCAATACCTGGAAGTGTGTATATGCAACAACTAAAAGTGAGAGCAGCTAGGTTCCAGGATTAAAATTTTGAATATAAACATGCAGATATTAAAAATTACTGTTGGGAAATCAAGATATATACTTGTTACAATATGTGTTGTTCCAATGTTAGGTTACAGGAGCACCAATGCTTTTTCTTTGTAATGAATTACACCAGAATAGTGTTTGAGTTGTGCTCAGTGCTTGCACTGTCTCTCCAAGTGTGGTTTGGATTTGGACAATCTGGTATGATGCTGATATTTCAAATCTGCAGCTTTGTTTACATGTGTGAAAACAAGAAAGTGAATAGAAGATAGACTGTTTAATGCAGTGTAGATGGTTAAACCTGCATTAGGTGTGCAGAGAGGTTAAATTCTCTATTTTTCACTCTTCATTTAATATTGTGGTAATTATGGTAATTTAATAAAGAAAAAATACTGAACTGGGGGAGGTGAAATACTTCTTGAAACAGTAAGTATACACTCAATGCAGTATTATTACGTGCAAGCAGTATATTACAGTCTGTTCAAATGATCTCAGGACTCTGAAATTTCTTATGCTTTGAACTTTGAATCCTGGAACACTGCTCTTGCTTCACTGCTTTGTGCCACCTGTAAAATCACATTTATCAGGAGATTCAGTGAGTATATGCCAGTAGGTTTTTAGTTCATATCCAGTGAAACACTAACCAGTCTGTGCAAAGGGAATACCATTTTGTATTGTGACATAAGCAGCAAAACTTAGGGTAATAACCCCAAACAAACTGACTTTGGAACCTAATTTTGCTCTGTTAAGGAAAAAACCCCAGGTGCTTGATCTGGTGTACATTTCTGTGGACTGCTAGTTTATACTGATCAGTGTTTTTTCTTTTCTCATTTATTCAGAATATACGACACAAATCCTGAACAACCAAATGTGTTCCAGGTGGAGCAGCTGGAACGTCTCAAGAAGGAGCTGCCAGAGTTGAAAAGCTGTGTGTCCCCCTCAGTTGGCCACTTCAAACACATGGCTCCATGTAAATGCCATCATTGTTACTCCGAAGAGAAAGCTGTAGATAACTTGAAGAGTGTTCAGATGCAGAAGGACTAATTGTAGGCAGAATGCTGTTTTGTATCTATAGAATTTTCACCATTGGAATAGTTCTGTCTATGCTTTCAGGTTGGTTTGGTTTAATTTTAAGTCTTCAGATAGCAATAACTGTGTTCCTCCTTCCTAACAGTACTTAGTAAAATTTCAAACAATGTTAAAATATTCAGCCAGTTACAGTTATTGTTCCAAATTACATGTACAATTTTAACTTATTCCTCACATCCTATCAAGTCTTGAAAAAGAAAATTATTATTATATTATTTTGCTTTTTAAAAAACCAAAAATTAATTAAGTAGTCTCAGTAGTGAAAACTCAGAAGCTAAACTGTAGAGAAATTACAATAATCTCATATTGAATATGCTGAAAATTTGTTTTGATTTTGATTTTACTTACAGGCTGACAAGCTGTAGCATTTATCTGACAGCAGGAAGCTGAGTGGTTTTAAGATACATATAAATGGATCTGGCCTAGAAAAAGATCTGAACAAATTGGTACCTCATGTATATGTATTTGCACTGGTAGATCCACCTGTACAAAGCTTTGTGCCATTTTAAAATATTTTATTTTTTAGCAAACTGCAGCTCCTTTTTCCCCATTTCATTGGACTTTGAGGCTGCTGCCTTTGTTTCCTCAGCCCCCAGTTCAGGGGCACAGCAATCAGGGGGGAAGCACAAGTACAGGTTTTTCATTAATCACACACAGGCCTGCTAAACTTTAAAAATGTTGCTAATAATCATAACAGAATTACAGAAACATCTTCAGTGGTCGAGAATCTTTTTTGCACAGTAACCTTAATGAAGAGTATGTACCCTGCACAAACTCTACGAAATGCATGCTTTATCTACTAAGCATGAATTTTAGGTGTTTGCTGAGGTCCTTGCATCTTTATGGTGCTAGTTATGTGTGAAGGGTGCAAGGACCAACTCAACAACTTAATCTCCTTTGCCTGAGAAACCACAAGCCTGTTATTCACAAACATTTGGAGAAGAGGCTACACCATACGTGGTACGTATGTATACCATACGTGGTTTGTCTTACTTATAATGCAAGCTACTGGCTTTTGTATTTTGCAAAATTTTTGGCTTTTACCATGGAGCAAGAATCACAAATGTACTGGATTCAGATAATCAGTAGTCTGTTGGCTGGTATCTGTCCTCTGTAATTTATTACAAAGTCATAGTTTAGAGTTCTTAATAGATAAGTATGCATGTCCCTTCTCCTTCTTATGTTGCAGGTCATGCCAACACAACAGCTGTAACTTTCTACTGAAATGTTAATGTATAATAAGAATGGAAAATATTTATTTTTTTTTCTCTTGTAAATCAACAATGAAAACAATAGTATGTACTATATTCTTTATATACAGTCATTGCTACATATAGAACTGATTGTACAAAGAGTAAAGCCATTGCAAATAAGTGCTTGAGCCTGCACTGCTGAGCAGTTTGAAACAGCTTGTTTTGACTTGTGCATTTTAGTATTTAAAGTTTGTTTGTCCTGCACAAACAGCACAATAGTATTAGGTATCTGGAAGCCTTCTTTTATTAAAAAAAAAATCAAATGAAAGCGCAAAACAACCCTAAACCAAAACTGGAAGTGTGTGAGCTGTGTTTTTCAGAAGGGGAGGGGCACTGAACCAGAATCTTGGCATCAGGAAACCTGTGGCTGTTACTTGATATATTCCTCATTATGTGATAAATTCCTTAATTTATTTTCTTAATTTTTTCTCCTCATTTGTGTACCCTGTGGGGTCCTTGACAGGTCTTGAGGGCTTTGCCAATTCTTACTCAGCTGCTAGCAGAGTTTGTGTCACTGCTTGTGAAAGCTGGGCAGCACATCCTCAGAGATGCTGAGACACCTGTTCTGTGCAGAGGGGGTTTGAAAGCTGTGCCCTCTCAGACTAATCCCAGTGAGATGCTCAGGCACCCTTAAAATCTTGTTTCCCAGCCTTCAGTGCTCAGGGAATAGCACTTCCCAGTTCTGTTTGAGGGGAGTGGGGGTGGAAATAAATCCACCCACTGTGATGATTTTACAGGACAGTTTTGAGCAGTGTTAGTGTTGGTGTTTTCTTGCTGACTCCTTTTTTTTCTGAGTAAGTTGTGTCAGCAGCTTCCTCCAAACCTGAGGAGCTTCACCAGCTCTCCTGCTGTGCCAGTTCTTGGAGCTGAGCTCACAGCTTGGGCAGGCTGAGCAGCTGTCACTCACCACTGGCATTGCAGAGGGGATAGAAGGAACTAGAGAGCAGGAATTCGGGATCTGGCAGGGGAAAATGCCCCCTCCTGCTCTGGAGTCCTCATTGGAAACCAGTGTGGTCCAGGGCAGAGATGGCTTTGCTCCAGCCAAGAGACTGCTACAGAATTTTATTCCAGAGATATGGGAGCTGTAGTAAGGGAGACAGAATTGCTCTCTTGATTTTGGAACATTTCCTTCTGGCCCACCCAGAGACTGGGCTCTACATCTGTAGGATTGGTTGCTGAATGACACTCCCACACTATGTCTGTACTTGTGTGTGTGGATATATATATATTTTTTTTTTAATATATGTATGTATGTAGCTGGACGGTGTAGGAGCTGGTCATGACAGAGCTGGTGTGTTGTGATACACAGTTGGATGCTACCTCCAGAATGTCTCCAAATAACTGGGCCTTCATGTATTTTCAGCCACACAGATCTTGTACCTTAACTAAACATGCAGCAAAAGTCTTGGTCACAACAGCTGCCAGCTGAGGAAACACTTGCTGACTCCACATTTATCTCACACCTCTGGAATTACACCCCACATCCTGGAGTTTTGCAGTTTCCTTCTCAGCTGCATCCATCATGTCAATCTCCCAGAGCCCAGCTTTGAAGATTGAAACAGCCAGCAGCTGCTTCCATACTGTTCTGGGGAAAAAAGCCAGCCCTGCCTTCCCCTCGTCTTGCAGCCTGTAAACTGCACCACACGCAGGTCTTTGCTCTTGCTTTCCACTCTGTGTGCCATCAGATTCTCTCACAGAATCTGTGTCCAAAACTGAAAAAATTCCAGCAGCTGCTCCCTCAGAGAAGGTCCTGGAAGAAAGAGGCAGTGCTGGACTACACCTTTCTTTTGTAACTTAGAAACTGCACTGAGGTGATTCCCTTCTTCAGGATCCAGACCTGAAGCCCTCCCCTACTTGCTCCCACTAAAGTGCCAGGACAAAAAAGATGTTGGCTTTTCCCTTCCCACTGTCACCATTCAGAACTGCACCCTCTATCCCTGTGTACTTCCTAGACAATAAATGTCCTGTGATGCTGCCTCAGAAACCCAAAGGGCCGATCTGGAGCCAAAAGTGTCTAGACCCTCCTGGCAAAATGTGCCAGGACAAAAAGAAATACATTTGTTTTGGCAGGCAGGCAGCTCTCCCTGGTGTTCCTGGTGCAGATAAGAGGCTCCCCAGGGGAGGTAAAGGCCAGCAGCTGCTTTTTTCATGGCACATCCTGTGTGGGAGCAATCCCCTCCCAGGAGCCCTGCCCAAAATTTGAGTGCTGCCTCCAGTGTTGAATACAGCCACCAGGGACTGCTCTAACACAGAAGTTCTCTCCAAGGGGCTGCTGCTGGATTGTGCCTCCCAGAGGCAGCATCTCCTGCACCACCAGCAATGGGGTGAGGTGCTTTCCTTAGCAGGTAAAGGCATCCTCATCCTCTTTCTGGAGCTCACCTCCAGTGTTTGGATACCAGCTCCAAAACTCTGTGTGTCCAGGGATCTCTTTCAGAGAAGCTTTTCCAGAACAGAAAACCCTGGTTTATACCTCCTTAGGGAATCCTGTAATGTCATCCTTTTCTTTCAGGTGGCCAGTAGCTGACAAGGATGAATAAATGTCTGCTTTATTTAAATAGACAATGATTGGATGAAAATATAAAAAGAGAAAAATGCAAAAAGGCAAAACTACAATCTGATCAGAGTTATTTACTACACAGTAGAGCTGCTAATACAGTGTTCTGTTTATTGCACCAATAACATAGCCAGCTTAATAATTTTCAAATAGAGGTTGATGTCACTCACCCATGTCAGTGACCATGGGCAAGTCTCTCACTCAGCCTCCAGAGCACCCCTGAGGGGTGTTCCCACCCAAGGGGAGGATCTTCCTGCATCTCAAGGAGATGTGCTGGGGAAACTGGGACTGATCTTCTGTAATATGAAGAAGTTGTCCTGCAAAGTGTAGGTTCTGTGTTGTCTTCAGCAGAACGTGTTAGTCAGATGTTAGCAGCTCTTTGGTTTCTGCTCAAAACTTCCATCTCTCATTTCCCTACCAGGCTCTTCCATGTCCCTGTTGATGCCTGCCTCAGTCAGGAGGAGCCTCATTTAAGAGAGTTTGGTCAAGCTGTGTCAGCATTCTTCACCACTGAACCCAGGGTTCTACTAAACTCCCTGCTTTTTAATCCATCACCAAAACCTTGTAAATAAGACAAAGAAGGGATTCTTTAAAGCTGTCCCAGCCCTTCCAAATGGAACAACTCTAGTGCCGCTGCCATTCATAATGCAGTTACTTGTTCCTCACACCAGTCCTGTGGTCCCAGGAACAGGAGAGCTTCATCCCCATCCCTTACAGAGACAGTGAGACCCCTCTGGAGCTGTGTCTGTGTCTCCAGCTCCAATCCCTACATTCCCGCTGCTTCCAGCTCTCCCTCTTTGCTGACTGGTTTCTAGGTTTGCCTCATATCCAAGTTTTCATCCATTACATGTGGCTGTGTCACTTTAGGGCAAATGGAATCTCACTGGAGAAGGGGGAGGTCAGGTGGATGCAGCAAAAACACTCTCCCACCTTTGAATAAGTCATGAAAGTCCGCACAGACTCTGCATTTAAGTGAGAAAAGGCCTCCAGAAGAAAAAGAAAATTGGCATTATCTACTTAGATGTTTTTGCTTCAATAGACTGGAAATAATAGAGTTCAAGGTCTGGGTAAGAGGCATCCATCCCACCCCTTCACTGCCCCACCAGCTCTGTGGTTCTGTGCTTGCTCTGCCATGTAACCTGCCCCTCACTTAATCTGCTTATTAAAAACATTTCCCCAGTTTTTCCAATGTTGCAGCCTCCTCCACTCATCTGCCCCACTGCTTTCTCCAAGGGACAGGTTTTACCCTGTCCTCCTTTCTCAAGGAAAGTCCTTTCTTTGCGCTTTTTGGCCTCAGCTTCTGGAGTTCTGTGGTTTTTGCTGTGTGCCCAAGTGTGTTAAAAAGGAGTAAATATTCCGTATGAAGAAGAAGGGGAATTACTTCCCCCATGGACTACAGACAAAAAGATAAAATTTAAAAAGTGAAACTGCCTGGGAAGCCTCATCATTTTAGGTCATTTGTGTCACCGTGGCACTTCCAATCTCCTGCAGAGATGATGGAGGTGCAGTTTGGTTGCCCTCATCCCTGGATGTCTGTGGGACATTTCTGGGCCCCGCTGTCTGCCCCGTGTCACATCCTGGCCACCAGCCACCCTGGTGTCCCCTGCCTGACCCCTCAGGGCTGCGGGGCCAGGCTGGCTCACTGTGCAGCTCCAAGGGGACTCGAGGCCGTGCAGGTGCATGGGCACAGGTGTCGCCTGCTGCCCGCAGCTGTCACCCCAGTGCCACTGGGCCCTGCCTGGCAGGCTCGGCCGTGCGGGGACAGCCGAACTCTGCTCCCAGCGCCCCGGGGCTGCCCCTGCATCTCCCATGTGACTGCAGGTCACAGGGCTCGGCCACACCTGTGCCACTCACTGCTGTCTTCACCTGTCAGCAGGAAGCAGGGCGGAAAGGAACCAGAGCAGGAAGGGGAGAAAAGAGGAAGAAACGAGAGCAGGAAGGGCAGGAAAGGAGGGAGAGAGACAGAGGGAGAGGTAAGGAGGCTGCATTCACAGAGCGCCGACGAGCACCGTGCCAGAGGCTTGCAATGTCCTCCTCAACTTCCAGCAGCACTTTGCCCAGCGGCCTGGCCGTCCTGACGACCTTCCCAGATGTGCTCTTCATCCCCGAAATCGTGAGTGCTGGCTTGTCCCTGGGGGAGGGCCGTGGCTGCGGCTGGGGGCTCAGCACAGGTTGTGCTGCAGGTGTCCGAGGGGTGACACTTGTCCCCAGACCGGCTCAGGAATGTGGCTCAGGTCCCTGAGCCACACGGGGCTGGACGGCATCTTATCCTCGCAGAAAACCACGGGCGCTGAAGTTCTCCTTCAGTCTGCAGTGGGATTTTCTGGAGCCTTTGAAAAAGGCTTTGATTTCCTGCCTGAAGAAACAGCAGGGGTTGCCGGTGGGTTTAACCAGGCTGCCAAACGGGGATGGTTAATTACCTGGCGGTAATTAACCCTCAGCACAGGCAGAGGGGGAGCTGCTGGCTTGGAGCAGGGGCTTAGGGCAGCCGCGGGAATTGCGTGTCCCTGCCGGGGCTGCGCTGCCCCACCGCGGCATTCCCGAGCCCAGGGAATTGCGTGCCCCTGCCGGGGCTGCGCTGCCCCACCGGCGAAAGGTGGGCAAAGGGTGAGCAAACACCTCATAACTTCGTTCCACATCGTAACTTCATTGAGCAGGAGGAGATCGCAATCTTTAATGGATTTGGCGCACGTGGTTGAAAGCTGAGCATGGGTTGTGGGATACAAAGTCTCAGCCTGAACTTTTCCCCCCGTCCTCTGCCCCACTCCTGGAACGTGCTCCTCTCACAAGAGCTTGGGAGGTTTTTTTCCAGATTTCCAGCGCTTTGGTCCAGCTTTGAAAGCTCTGGCTGAGTATTGTGAGGATGGCGTTCAGATTATTCCCTGCTAAAAACTTCAGCTTTGCCATCTGGCACCAGATCCTTTCCTGTCACCCAGCTTGGTCCGCGCTCCTGGGATTGACGGCGTTTCCTTGGTTCTCCCGGTGACAGCAATGTAGCAAAGAGGATGTGGGAAAGGCTTTGCTTCAGCCGCTCCTCCGTGCTCTGCAGGCCTGGTCCCTGCCCCAGAGCAATGCCAGGTTTCCTGCAGCCACGGGAAGGAGGATGTTAGGTGCCTGTGGGGGTTTTGGCTGGGCTGACACTTGCCAGCCACCCCTGCCACTGAGCTGTGTCAGTCCCGCTGGCCTCAGAGGGCTCATTCCCCTTGAGCTGTTTGTTTGTGATCCCTGTCTCCAGGGCATTTGGCAGGGCAGCTTGCTGAAGTGAGCACCCTGTCCTTTGGTTTGGGTAAGATCTGGAAATGTGCATCCTGAAGGCCCAGGAACCGCCCAGGAAGGAGGAATGCTGTATGACTGGATTTCTCCATCTCCAGGCAGATTCTGGGCTGTGCTGCTGTGTGACCTCTGCTGTGTACAAAGGAGGTGGCTGCTTGAATCAGAGGGATAGAGAGTTTCTCATTCCTTAGTGGAATCTCAGATTGCCTACCATGGGCCAAGATAGCAACATAACAAAATAAAACAAAATTGGCATTTTAAATGCTGAGGGGGTTGTGAAATTTTCATAAGATCCTGCCTGCAGCTCAGATGATGGCCACATTTGCATGGGCTGATCAAAAACTACCATTTTTAATCTGTGGGGCTCAGTTTAATTATTGTAATCCATTTAATTTGAAGAATTTTCTGCACATATGAATACCCAGACCTATGGAAAACCTGAAACAAGCTGAAAGCAGATAAGTTTTCTTTGTAAAAGCTGTTTAAAGGATGAAATTTTTTTCTTAGACTGCTGTCCACATCCTGCTGTGAGTTATTGAAAGCCTCTCAATCCTTCCTTCCTTTTTATGAATCTTCACCATAAAACCAAAGTCAATAATCAAACCACGTCAAACAGAATTTTCTGAGTGGGTCAGCAAAGCCTGCAGGAAGGAGAGATGGTGAATGATAGGAAGTGAGCTGTGGTGCTTTTTTCCCCAGCTTTGTATCTCACCATAATTTGTGCTGGATTTTAATGGAGCAGCCATAACGCTTTCCCCCAGGATTTTTAGCTGCAACACACTCATTGTGTCAGCACATGAGTGATTGAAAGGACTGGATTAGTGCTCAAGGCTCAGCCTTTGGTTGTTACAAGAGGGCCCAGAAGAGCAGCACTCTGGAAGACCCATTTTCACTCAGGTCTTTGCCACATCTCAACCACATAATTGATGTAACATGTCAATTTGCATAATGGCACCAACAAACTTTCCTACAACTGTGGGGTGACAAAAATGATGTAACATTTTCTGAGTTACCATAAATCAGAGACTTTCTTTCCACTTGCAAAATGATTGGAAGGAAATGGAAATGGAAATGAGTACGAGCTGGCACTTGGATGCTGACTGGGATACACTGGCCATACAAGGATCAGAATGACCTCAGAGTCAGCAAGGCTCTCCTGCCTCTGGACGTTTGCCTGAATCCCAGAGTGGCTGGTGGTGAGGGATAGGCCCCCAGAACAGCACAGGTCCACAGAGTGTGGGCTCAGCTGTGGAGCTCCTTATCACAGGATGCTGCACAGACTGAACTTTGCACAGGTCCAAGGAACAGCTGGGCTGATCTGTGGCACAGAACAGCTCCTGAGGGCGTTGCAGTGCAAAGGCATCACTTGCACTCCAGGCACTCCACAACACTGAGCATAATGCTCCCATCCTCTTGTGCAGGAGTCTGCTGGTGAAGGGATGGAGCCTAGCCATGGCTGTCCCTCTGTACCACCAGGAAACCCATGGCAAGCTCCCAAGGCTGGCTGAGAAGGCCCCACCTGCTCCCACACCAGCACCTGGGACCAGGCACAGCTCTGGTGTAGGCAATGAAGGATGACCCAAAGAGCAGCACTACAAGCTTCCTTTCCCAAGCAGGAGCTGGCAGCCTCAGACTCTTTTCCTCTCCCCAGGTTTGAGGGAGTCAAACCTCTCCTCAGCCTGTTCTCTCCTTTCAGAGTGACATTTGCATGTGACCTTTGGGAGGGCAGGTGTCTGTGCTGCTTGTGCAGGTGAGCTGGGTTTGACACTGCTCCTGGCAGAGATCTGACACGCTGGGTGTGAAGCAAACACAAATCTCCTAAATCAGCCTCCCTATTCACTAAAGCCAGCCCTCAGAAGGGTCTGAGCCAGCCTCTTAAGCACACTGGTGTAGGGAGGGTGTGAGTGGCAGTGGCACCAGTGAGGAATTTTTTTGGGTCAGGATCAGTGGCAGAGACTCCCAGCTGAATGCCCATTTTCAAGTGGAGGCTGGGAAGAACTCATGGGCTGCTGCCATTGCAGTGCCAGAGGTGTGAGTGGCTTTTGGCTCTGCTCTGGACAAGTCACCTTACCCCACACTCACCCTGTCCCCCACTTTGACTTGCAGATCTTTGGGGGCCTTGTGTGGATCCTGGTGGCATCCTCGAGGGTCCCAGACGCCATGCTGCAGGGCTGGGTGATGTTTGTCTCCGTGTTCTGCTTCGTCATGTCCATCTCCCTCCTGTGCCTCTACCTCTGCGGGGCTCACGGCGGCGGCGGCAGCTGCTGGGTCACCTTGGTACGTGCCTGTGGCAAACCCTGGGGGTGGGTTTGTCACCAGCAGGGTGCTGCTGCTGCTCTCCAGACTGCAGCCCGGGGATGGTTGTAGGGGCAGTGTGACTCCCCCCGAGGTGACTGTGTGATCCTTGTTCCTCAGGATGTCATCTGCCACTGCACGGCAGCGCTGTTCTACCTCAGCGCCGCGGTGCTGGAAGCCTACATGACCTATTCCCTCAGCTTCTTCCTGCCCCTGGCACAGCAGTACAGGGAGAACATTGCTGCCGTGGTGAGTGCCTGGCAGGAGGGCAAGGAATGGCAGCAGGTGGCTCTGGGGTGGCCTCAAGTGCAAATCTGTATTTGCACCAGCAGTTTGGGGAGCGGGGACAGAAACTGGTTGCCATCTCAGCGTGCACGGGTGTCCCCAGACATGTGGCATGTCACGAGGCGTGGGCTCGGTGCTGGAGTGGCACCGTGCCACAGAACACTGACGGGCTGGTGTGTTTTTCCATCCCAGGTATTTGCATTCGTGGCCACCCTGCTTTACGTGATCCACAAGGTGTTCTCGCTCCTGCGGTGGAAATCGTCCTGAGAGCCTGAACAGCCCCAGGAACAATGGCTGCCATCTCCGGGCTGGGTTTGGGGTTTGGGTTTTAATGTATAGCCTAGAAACAAGCAGCTTTTTATGTGGGATCTTGGTGATGAAGACAAGGAGCCTGCCAGAGAAAGGAATATCCTGGCACAATCTGTTTCCCTTCAGTAGCTTACAGGCTGGGTACAGTTTGATGCTGGGGCCAAAAAAAAAAAAAAAAAAAAGCCATCCAGCTTTAAAAAACCATAATGTAGTTGGGTTCAAAGGGCTAAAATATCCCTGGACTTTACCTTTATGTGTCCAGGGTTGTTACTGGTATCACGGGAAAAGTGAACAAGCACCAAGAGGCACAAGTGTGAAACTGTGTCATTTTAATTGCTGTGTGACCGTTTAAGTGTGTTTCCCCCCCTAAAACCACTGTACAAATTAACATTTTCATGCAGTTTCTGAAAATGCCTTCTCTGACTTGCAATGAGCAATGGGAATATTTACCTCAGCTCGGGAGCAATGTGGGTCACTGCAGCTCCTGAAGGGTGCTGCTGAATTCTGAGGCATGACCGTAAGGCCAGGAATTATCACTGCCCTTGATCCCACCCCTACAAAGCACAGCCTGGAAGGGGCCCAGTGGGCTGTAGGAGAATTCCCTGGGTGATCAGAATCAAATCCTCAGTAAGCAGAAGCAATCAACTCCTGCATTTGGTGAATGGCTACTCTCTCACACACTGCCACGGTGTCACTAATAAAGATGGGTTTGCTGTGATTTTGTCAATGGGTGAGTCCTTGCTGCTCTTTTTCCCTTTGCTGCACCCAGGCACAGCCCCAGGAGCTCTGCACCCTCACAGGGCAGGGCCACCACGGGGGCTGAGTGAGTGGCTGTGTGGAGCTCAGTTGCCAGCTGGGGTTAAATCTTCACAATGAATTAATTGAAATGGGGTTTAGACCCAGGAAAGGATGTTTTCAACATGCTAGAGGTGCCTAAAAAACAGTGGTGCTAAATTATCTCTTCCAGCTTGTGGGGCAAAAAATGCCTCCATTTTAAGTCTGAAGTTCCTGGATAACAATGAGAACTAGAGGACAAGAGGGAAATAAAAGTTGACTTGGAGGCTCCTCTGCTGCTTCATATCCGGGGAAACTTTTCACCTGTGACCAGGGGTTTGGTTTGAAGCTTTTTAATTACAAACTAAGGAAAACATTTGTGGAGATTTTCTCCTCCTGAAAACCAGCCTGACTTGTTTTGCTTGTGTTACTGTGACAACAGGGAACTGGTTGCAACAGAGGTGGAAAGAGAAATCCCTTTTCAGAGCAGGGAGGGAACTCAAAGCCATTGGACAATGGGAGACATTGGCAATGGACAATGGCACATGGTTCTGAAGCTCAACATCCACCCATTGAAACTGGTTTCATCATCCCATCACCATGGGGTGTGTGTGGGGGTGTTGGTGCCCAGGTTCTATTAACGCCCCTGAATGTGACAAGGGAACACAAAGATGCCTTTCTGCTTGGATGTGTTTACAAAGGCAGGGATCTGCAGCCCTGCCCTGGGCCTTGGGATAAACTGTCTCTGTTCCACCTGCAGCCAGGTGTGCCCAGCACCCAGGGCAGCCTGTCCCCTCACATCCCTGTCCCTGTGCCTTGTGGCCATCCCATTTACAGCCCACGGCCTGGCATGGCCCCAGTCTCCTTCCTTCTGCTTTGCTTTGCCCTTTGCTTTCCCCCTGCCCACCACACACCAGCTCACACCAGTCTGCACCAGTCCCCCTCCATGTCCTTCTGTCCCACCCTGTTTGCCGAGTGCCTCCCCCACAGCATCGGCCCAGCCTTGCTGGAATCCAGCACTGGGAAAAGCAGCCAGGTGCTGCTGCCATGGCAGTGTCAGCAGCTGGAGGGACACCGAGGGAGGTTCTGTGGCCCCAGTGTCACCTGGGCCCAGCTTTTGCCTGGGGAGGGCTGGGCATATGGAACAGACACCCCCACCTCTCACAGAAAATGGGGCTGGAACTTTGACACCCTCCTGGTGTGACCCCAAGTCCAACCCCAGGCAGCTGAGCAGGGGGAAGGGGGGTCCCTGCTTGGCACAGGGTGGCAGGGCCAGCACAGGACAGTGACACTGCGAGGGGTGGCTGCTGAACTGCAGCAATGTGCACCTTCCCTGCAAGGTGGGAAGAAAAGAAAATGACACAAAAGAGGTTCATCATGCCCAGCTTTCCTGTCACCTCAACGCAGCCCCAAAGACTGCCATCCATGCCCTGGAAGCTGGGCAGCCCAAGGGGCCTGTCTGGAAAATGGCACTCCCCCTGCACTTCCTGAAGGGAAAGATGCTGCCCAGAGATCAGAGAATGTCCCAGGACCTCCAGACCACGTGTGCAGCACATCTCTTCCCGACAGGGAGCCCTGAGGGCAGCACTGACCCCAGAATTTGCTGACACTGCTGGAAACATGGGGCATGATGGACACTGCAGGCTAGCAAGCCTTTTCCCTTGGGAACAATTCCATGGGGCCAGTGGCACTCTGGCAGGGCTCCCCAGGATGTGGGAAGGCTGGCCCTGTAGTTTGTTCAACACAGACATTGCAGTCCCTGCCTGCAGAGCTGCTCGCAGTCTGCCCCAAAATCCCATATTAATGGGGGATTAATAATTAAATCCCACATTAAAAGCCCTGCATTTGCTCAGGAATTCCCAGAACCCCCCAGACTGGTCCCCCTCCATCACTGGAACTCCCTTGCAGATGTAACTGGATGGAGCAGGCCATTTCAAAAGCCACAAATCAGGCTTTTTTTCAGGGCATTTACAAGTCCCATTCACACAGCTGAAACACTGAGCCTATTGTGCCCCTGCAGCCACCACCAGGGTTCATCTGGTTGTGTAAGTGGAATCCTCATCTCTGCTCTGCCCCAGCTTCCTCGGCAGGACAAGGTCTGCAGGCACCTGCTCTGGAGAGCAGGCAATTACACGGTAGTTAAACCAATCTGTGCACCTGAAGGCAGGCAAAGCCTCAGTTCCTATTAAAAACAAGATTGCAGACATATTCATTAACTATGCCCAGATTGTAATCTTGGTTGCTCTTGCTTAACTAAGTGGTTTAACCACTCTGTTAACTATTCTCCAAATATTTGCATACTGGATACCTTGCCTCCAGCAATGCAATGAGTTAGGAGAACCTCCATCTTCTCCTGAATTGCAGGAGAAGAATTTGATTTTTAATAGAAAATTATGACCAGCTCCATGGAAAATGCAGGAATTTCCCATTTTACAGCCAGCTTTTTCTGTGAGCAATGAGCAATCTGTGTGCTGGGTAAAACATCTACACAAGCCCCTGTGTTAATATAAACAAACCTGTGGGAACAGTAAAGCCACAAAAGATTGATTTTATGCAGGGATCTAAGCTCAACAGCAGAGATGCCAGCTGAAGCTGAGCACACATCCCCCAACAGCAGCTTGATGTGCTGGGACAAGAAACTTTGCAACCTGAACACCTGGAAATCCCTATTGAAGGTATCTTTTGACTGAGGTATTGAAGGTATTTTTTTCCTAGTGAACAGGGAAAAACCCTTCATCCCACTGCTCAGCAGGCATGGCCTTGGAAATAGAATTTTCATTGCCAGAGTGAGATAAAACTCAACTAAATTCACCCTGCCTGTCTGTATATACACAACTGCTGTCTTTAGAAACCTGCATTGAAATCAGTGTAAAACATGGCTCCTAAATGTCTTTAACATTAGAACTCCAAATGCAAATTCCCAGGTTGGTTTTGAAGAATTTCTAAGGTATTTTCTCCCACACCAACAAAAGAGGTGGCCCAAGCATCTTTCAGAATTTGGGGAAATGCTATGACAGGCACTCTCAACTGGGAGGCACAGAATGGAGCTCCTGAGCCTTGGCAGTGAGACACAGGGTGCACACATGAGCTCCCACCACTGCTGCTTGCTTCAGCATCTCCCAGACACCACCATGTAGCAACGACAACTACAACAAAAAAAGACCCAAACAAACCCAAATTAAACCCACTCTGATGGTTCTTTATTGCTTTCACAATCTTGTATTTTCAACAGTTTCCCAAGAGCTTGTGAAAGATACATGGACAAACCATCCTCTGGAATGGAGTAAATGCATGCTCGAAGCCAAAGACTCGTTCTCTGACTGCTTCCATCTGAACATTCCCACTCGGACAGGCTCAGGGGAATTGTGGGAAAGCAAGCAGTGCTCCTGAATGGCAGCAGTGACATGGATGGCACGAGAGAGCTCCTGCTCCCTCCCCTGAAACTCAAGCCCAGACCCCCTTGAGCCAGGCTTTCCCAGCTGCGCTGAGCCGGAGGCGCGGAGGGCCCGGAGCTGTCAGCACGCCGCCCGTCTGACACTGGCCCAGGGGGATTTCAGCATCCCCTGGGCTTCCTTCACCTCCCTCCACTCCAGCTTCGTGTTTGGAACCTCATCCTCAGGCTCAGGCTCCTCACGGACGGGCCCCTGGGGCAGGGCCACCACGATGGGCAGAGGGCCCTGCTCCTCCCGGAACTCCACCACGTAGAGGCTCTTCTGGTTTGCCAGCTGCTGGTGAGTCTCCTGGGAGCAGGACAGGGAAAGGACAACCAAAACCATGATGGCTGCACTTCAGGCCAAAATCTACAGAGGATGTGGGGCAGGGAAAAAAGGCCCCAAAGAGTAATTTCCTAATAAACTGTAAATGAAATTATTTGTCAGGCTTATCTTACTAGGCAAAAATTCTGACAGCCAAACCTCAGATACACTGCTCAGCCCTACAGTGTCATCCCAGAGGAACTTCCTTCTGGAAAGACATACCCTGCTCATAAACATGCTGTTGGCAGGCTAGTGTTCCTGTTGGCAGGAACATTTTTATGTCTTTATGTGGATATAAATTTTGCTTTGATAACAGAAAAGTGCCTGTTAGTGCCCAGACAGGTGGCATTAACTAACATAAAGATACATTCATAAAGATATGAATGTAACATTATTTTCAATTACACCTGCCCTTTGCCTATGAGGTGTTTTCATAACACTCAGATTTTACAAAGTAAATGTTTACAGGTGACAGGAAAGTTTTCTTTCTCAGGGCAGTGAAGAAAACCTATCAAGTGCATAACTCCAAAAGCAATAATTTATACAGCAGGCCTTTCTCCTGTTTGTTCTGTGGAACATTCTCAGACACACTGATTGAAAATACAGTGCCAGACTTCCCCAAGTGTGACTGCCCTGAGGTATTGCTAAGCTGGGAGATCTGTGACTCCCATCAGGTAAAGAGGATCACAACCCCCTCATCTCCTGAGGCTGAACTGGTGACATTGGCCAGGACAGGGTGACAGACTTGACAGCTACACCTCTGCAGGGCTGTATTGGGAATGGAAGCAGCCAAACCTTGGCAGCCACCAAAACTGCAAGCAAAGGAGATAACCAGGAATTTCCAGAGGGCTGACTCATCCTGAGGCTGCTGTTCAAAGGAAGTAGGATGAAATGCTGCATGTGGGAGCTTTTCCACCAATTCCAGGCAGCTGGCTCAGACAGAGACATCTCCACTGTGAGCACTTAGAGGTGGAGGCAGCACCACCACTTCCCTGACTGAATTCAGAGATCTCAATTACAGCAGCAATAGAAGCAGCTGGGGCTTCAATCCTTGCTCAATGGGAACCTAGAGCACAAACAAGCAGCAGCAACCAAGCCTGGCCCACAATTCCCTCTGCCCAGGACTTTTCAATAGTCACCAAAACCCCACCAAATGAAAGCCCAGGAATTCAGATGTCCCCTGCAGACA